TCGAGTGATTTATTGGAAGCATTTAACAGACCATAATTAGGATGGTAGACTTGTCAATGTTATAAAGCTTTTGGAATGTATGGTATTAAGAAAAGATACGTAATTAATAACTAATAAAAAAAAAGAAAATCGCTACCACTGAATACAACATTAAACAAGTATCGATTTAGTCCCATCTTCTCTGATCATGATATTATTATTATTATTATTTTATCGATAGTTTTATATCAAATATTGTCTAAGATAGTTCATACAATCAATATTGAGCCAAATTGGGTTATCTCCGTAACTGAAGTTAAGTAAAAGCATACTGTATCAAGTCATGTAACTAAGTTATCGGGATAATTAAATGAAGACTGAAAGTGAGTACTGAAATACTTTACTGTTTAAAATGATATTGTCGAACAAAAGAAATTTCAAAACTTCGTTTCTGTTTCTAGATATGATAGTCATCTACATCTAGAAATGATATTTGTGTTAATTGTCTAAAATGCTTCCCTAAGATAAAATGACTAATTGAAATGTAATTTTAAAAGTCAAAGCGAAACACACTTCCTATAATATATCCATAAACAGTTGAATGTACCAACACGGTTCAAAGTAGAAATCAATGAATTCATAGATTTGTTTTTCATATCTGCATATCGGCCATCAATTTTATTCTCACATAATATTTCAGTCATTAATTGAAATGCTTTACATAAATTACACCTCATTAAACTTTAAAATGGATCCCATTACAAAGTGCTTGAAAATGTCAAATATCAAAATGAAATTTTATAACGATTGAAAGGTTAATAATAAATGATTAACTGAAAATAGTTCAGATTGATATAACGAATGGATCAATGTTAGATCACTATTGAAAACCTAGAAGCACTGGATGGCCGTTTTGTCCTAGTATATGACTCCTCATCAACAAGCATACACAACCCCACACAATGGGCTCGAACCCAGGACCTTCGGTCTCGCACACAAACGCTTAACCTGTAGACCACCGCTGAGAAGTCCTATACTAGAACGAAACAGCCATCCAGTGCCTATAAGGTTTCAATGGTGATCTACCACAACCCATTCATGATATCAATCTAAACTCAACAGTTTTTACAATCCTATACTGAAAATAGTTCAGAAGTTAGAAGTATAGAGTGTAACTATCCTTTCTTGTTTGCTCTTTACGAATAATGATAAATACAAAATATCAGGATTTAGTTTACTACCACATTTCATTCCTTTGTATTGAAAAAAAGAATCAACAAACTATAACCACGACACAAAATTTCTACAATATACAGTTCAATAGATATTTATTCATGTTCCGTCACGCATTTTGAAAGAATAAAGAAAAGAAGGAAAGTATTGAAGATGAAGAATAATAGCAAACTATTCATTTGAAGATCTTTTAAAATGAATTTAAATTGTAACTAAGATAAATTTGCCATATTTTTCAGTGTTAAAATTCAATTATTCAAGCATAAAACACAATGTATTTAATAAGTAAGTAATGCATTATCAAAATTCAGCAATGTATGAAAGATTAATTAGTCAATTTTGTTCATATTGTCTTCAATGAAGTAAATTGAAAATAAGATAAAGTTCAATCAACCAATAAAGGTGAATAATAAACAAATTCATGATATAGATTGGACTACTCATCATATATTTTATGTGAATATGTCTCAGAGTTTATAAGCACAAAATGAAAAATAAAAAATCTGGAACAACATATATAAGTGAACAATACTGTTTCCAATGAGATCCTCATCAGGCTTTACTCTAATATATACAGTAATATTTATATGCATATACGAAATTATTAAACTAATCAAGGGAGTTTATGGGTTAATGATAACAATGAAAAAGACTACATAATAAGTGAAAAGTACAAATTGATGTAATGACAGGTGTACTAGTTGTGATAAGAATAATAGTGGCTTAAATCAATGTAACATAATCGGAAATAGGTCAATTATTAGAAAAATATAGGCAGTGAGATAAAATTCATAGAAAGATTATAATTCCTATAGCTTCTGCTATGTGTAAGAGACGAGACCGAACACCGTAAAGAAAACTAGTAGGAATACGATAAATAACTTTAAATGACTTATTTCTGTCTACTACATGACCACTATCGATCAAGTGTGATAAAACCGAGCTGCATATTGTCTTTACAGTACCTTTTTCTAACTACGAAGGTAGGTATTCACTAATTCTTTGGTTCAATTGTCGGGTTGTGCGCCCAATACAATTTTCTCCTCAGCAGCAGCTGAATTCGTAAATACACATAGAAGTGGCATAACCAGGTAATTTATCCTTTAGTTGGGGAATCACCATAGATCGGGTCGAATACGATAGACATAGGTTGGCTGCATTAAACGTTCTCTTCACTGCTCTAGTCAATCTATCACGTGATACATCGCCAGCTACATCTGTTGGTTAAGTTCCGTTGTTTACAATATTACATAAATCAAATAGCAGAACTAATGAGAAGTATGAATTTTAAGTGGGATTGTTATACTATGACGTAAAGGCTACTAATCGAATAAAAATCGTGAGAAAGTAGGATAGCTTGAGAGAACGAAAAGAAACGTATCACTGTTATTCAGTTTGATATTTCGATTAATAATTTTTGATAACTCATTGATCACAACTCTTACTAGAAACGATCCAGATATATCTTACATTAACCGATTACTAACAATAAGAACTATCACGTTTATGGATATACTTCTTTCTTAGTTACTTCTGGATACTAGTTGTCTTTAAAAACCTTTATCACAGCTCACATTTATTAAACGTTATGGTTTTGAAAGTTAGTTAATCAGTAAATTACGCTCACTCAAACTAAGGACTTAATTAATAAAACTTCTGCTATCTGATATCATAATTCAGTGTGCTTTTTGTAAGTAATCGTTATTATAAACATATCATATTCCTTGATACAAGTGTTCAAATGCCTCTCTCAGATAATATATATCTTATTTACTATTAGGAATTTGCATATTTGTCACAAAAATACGATTTTGGACAAAACATATAAATAGTGGTTCCGTTTAATTTCTAGTAAAACAAAATGAGAGACACCATTCGCACAGCACAAGAAATTCATTATACTTTGCCAATTTTTTTGTGGTTGCATAAAATCTATTAATTTTCTGGTTAGTTTTCAAATATTGACTTGTGAATTAAGAACTGAATCGTTCATCAGAGAACGGCAAGTTTTTTGAAACATAAATTGTAATCAATTTCAAATTGAAATGTCAACAAACTACTTGTACATAGTTGAAGACTTTAGTGAATGAGATATCTGATGAATTTCTTGATCATTCAATGAAATAATTATTTAACATATCTAGTACAAACATAAACAGAATTCAATTCTAAACTATATTAATAACATAAATATATTTGTAATATCCCGATGAGTAGAAAATTTAGATGTTCTGAAGTTTCGTGACTTAGTGCAAGCCATTTCTCCAGAGAATAAATAACCAAATTAAAATTAATTTTACTATATTACGTAAATCAAATAGCAGAACTAATGAGAAGTATGAATTTTAAGTGAGATTGTTATGCTATAACGTAAAGGCTACTAATTAATTTTAATTTGGTTATTTATTCTCTGAAGAAGTGGCTTACACTAAGTCACGAAACGTCGAAAAGCCTAATTTTTCTACTCATTGGGATATTACAAATATACTGTTCATTTGTTTATAACAATCTACCTGATGCTCAATTTATTCGAAACCATCAAATCGAACCTTGTTAATGATACCTGTAGTAATAACTTTTAAACTTTATACCTATAATAAATATCTTCAAATGAATTGATATAGAGGCTCATTTTGAAAACCCAGATCATCAGTTATTTGAGCTGAAGGCATTTGTTGAAAATAAACATATTTGGTTCACGTTTAAGTCGGCTAATACTGCTGAATAAACTGTAATAACTAAAGTCAAATATATGTCTAGAAAATCAGAAAATTCTTCAATAATCTCTTTTAGAAGGGGCTTTTTGTGGATATTATAGATCATGAGTTAATGGAAGCTAAACCACTATTGAAAACCTGGAATCACTGGACGACCGTTTCGTCCTATTGTGAGACTTCTCAGAACTGCGCATTCACGATCCCGCCTTGCGAGATTCAAACCCACGATCTATCGGTCTCGCTCACGGACGCTTAACATCTAGACCACTGAGCTGGCCACCATCCAGTAGTGTTCATGTCTAACTTCAACTAATCCGCTAACCGTCTATTTGATTGAAGTTTTAGATAATGATTTATATGTTTTTTAAGACGTTTCTAAACTTGTTATAATTTCATGTTTTAATTTATGAAGTGAATAAACTTCATTGAGTATAAAAAATGTATCCGATTACGGACAAAAAATCATTCAACGAAGCAAGGAGTATCAATCAATACCAAACATATAATACATGTTGTCTTTAGACTTTACACAGCCAAATAACATGGAAACTGAATAAAACAGTTAATGTACTTGTAATTTTCAACACTTATTCAAATAATGTTTCTCTTAGATCAATATTTAAAAAAAAACTATTTTCAAACCCAACTAATTCCTCTTCCATCTCAAAGTCTTAACAAATTGTTTATCGCATTTACCACCCCCTTCCCCAAAAAAAGCAATGAAATGAAGTTTTTACAAAATCTGTAATTATATTTTCTGTTCTTTTTTTCTTTTAAAATGTAAACTGAAAGTATGATAGACATATGTGAATGGTACTTTATACTTTTTAATGGCACTTATCGGTTCTATGCACATACATATAGACAAACATATTTTTGAGTAAACTAAGAAAAAACCTTCTATGTTATTTTTTTGTGTGTGCGCAAATTTTTAATGTAGAAATGTCTGGGTTTCTGTTTACACGTTCATTAACTTTATGGATAATTGTTTATACTCGCTAGTACACTACATAATTGAATAATGTTTTATTTTCTATTTTTCTCTTTTTTATTACAAATTCCTCTATCACTTTAGGTAGTTAATGTAGGCAAATGAAACTTCTCTTTATTTTCATTTACGAAATGATGATTTTCATTAATTTGTGAAGATAGTTGATCAGAAAGTAGATTATAATCATGATTATAAACAAATTTTTGTTCTGACAGAGTTCCTGTCACTGGTAATGACGATAAGGATGAAGAGGATGAAGTATCAAAAATAAAATTTTGTTTATTACTCATAGTAATCTCTGGTAATAATTGACTATTTGCTGATAATCTGCTATTTTTTACCTAAAACAAAGATGAAAAAAGTGACATACATAGAATGAGTTTTAATAGTTTTATTTACTAGAAGACTAAACAAGTTCAACAAATGATCACTTCATGCATTATTAGTTGGGAAAAAGCAAACTTCTCATTATGCCATTATAAAGACGAGTTGTCTACTTTACTGAGAAACAAACGATTAATAATGTTAGATTTGTCAAATCAACCATTATTGACCATTTGCTTTTCATACTTTTTTGATAGAAAAACAATGTCTGAGGATAGACTAAAGATTGAGGTGAGTGGAAACGAACGTTTAGTCCATTTAAAGAGAATAATGAAGTTAAAATCTTAAAATACTGTTCGTTAACATAATCATCTAAGTTGATGAAAGTTGGGTAGATTTATTCACATCAGAAAACTTACGTTGCAGTTCGAGCAGTCATTGTCTAAAACAGACTTGATATTATTCAAACAGTAGAGAAATATATTTCTATTCAAATAGTGACAAGATTTTATTTACTATTTATTTGAATACATAAATATTGGCACAAAGGGGCACCGGATACATATGCACCATACACGTCACTTCATTTATGTGTGAACTGTGATGCTACTCGGATGCATAGACAGAAGAAAGTGGTTTTCTTAGGGGGCCGCTCCCAAGCCTTTGACCTAGAGGTCTAATCCAAAAGACAATGGAACAACGTTAGGAAATGCAGTTCCATGGTAGCCGGTGACCAGTGATTGTTCCATCAGGATCCTGGATCCCATGTGTACCATTGGTTTGGAATAAGGGTTTTCCACCCCCCTAGGTGGACCTTACGTATCCACCAACCCGGTTAAGGCTGTGGACATTGACTTTTTGTCCTCTCAATTTTGTAAACAACACCCCCCATCAGGATAATGCAGTGAGTAGGACTTCCGTGGGAGTGGCTGTATACATGTAGCCATGTGAGAGCATTTGAAGCGAGAGAGCTGATTTTCCGCACCCTCAGCCGTACCAAGGCATTTGGGGGGGGTGATAAGATTGGATTTATAGCAAAGTTTGAGATATGAAATCATAAGGAAACCTAAGCTAATACAAAACAATTGTTAAATGTTCACTAGTTTTTAAGATTCCATTACATAATATTTATTTGTGATAAATCTCAATTTCATATTATGAAGATCTTAGCATATTCAAATTATTATCATATATGAACTTACATTTTCTTTCTTTCTATAATTGTTATTTTAAAAAATCTATCATCCTTTTAGGAAAGAAAATAAAATAAATCCCCTTTTAATTATGTACACTAACCTGCTTCAGTATTGTTGATGATTTACAAGAGCATCCTAATAAACGTTGATGTAATTCATGTATTTTAGATTTAAGAATATTTTGAGCAAGTATAAATTCATTATATTCTTTTGATCTTATATTTTCATATAATTGTTTCATTGTTTGTAATTCATTTTTAAAATGATTTTCTAATTCCTCTTCTTTTAAACTTAAAATAACAAAGAACAATTCAAAAATTTGTGAAATTCGATTTAAAGAATTAGATCATACATCAGAAGGGGTTTTGTGAAGATTGTAGCAATTTCAATAGTTGGATTTGAATACCGCTAGCCGAGATCGTGGATGCACACTACCGAGGAGTCCTACAATAGGACGAAACGGCCGTCCAGTGCTTCCAAGTTTCTCATGGTTAACTAGCTTCAAGTGACTCATGATCTCAACTATTGAAATTACTACAATCTCTACAAAACCCCTTCTGATATGAATCAACATATGCTCACTGGTGACTGGCTTCAAGAGGTATTTCCTGAAGTTCTAGTGAGGAGCAGGGACTAGTGGAGTTCAACCGGGTCTGTTGTGAGATAGTAACTCACTGGTGACAACGGTGGATGAGTCGCTCAATTTCGTGGATTAGTTGAAGTTAGACATTAACATTGCTGGATGCCAGAGCAGTGGTCTAGTGGTTATGCGCTCGCGCGCAACACCGATAGGTCCTGGGTTCGAATTTCGCGGGAGGTGCGGGATCGTGGATGCACTCTGCCGAGGAGTCCCACAATAGGACGAAACAGCCATCCAGTGCTCACAGGTTTCCCATGATGATCTAGCTTCAATTGACTCATGATCTCAACTATTGAAATTACATCATGGTTATATTGAACGCGTTTTAATCCATATTAGCCCTAGTTTATTGAATTTTGAACTTTTTAGATAAATACATTAACATCAAAGTAAATAGTTCTATTTTTACTAAAATACAAATACATCAATTATGTTTTCAACACATATACTATTCACCGACTTGATCAGTTATGAAAACTAACTGTTTATATCATTACTAATCATTACTATTAATACAAAAGAACTACTTGTCAGTAGTTTTTTGCGTATTAATGAGAGAGGTGAATACATTTTTGTGATCAATAACGCATGATATTCTACCTAAAATACAACCTGTCTTTTGAACTAACAAATGTCAATCTTCTGGTTAATAATTGTAAACATTGGTCACTTTTAATTCATTGTTAAGTAGTAATAAAGCAGTTGTCATAATATTTGCATGCTGAAATGTTTATATCTATGAAAATGTTCAGCCATTTTTTATTATCTACTTTGTTATATCACTATCATGTAAAATATATCTTCTAAAAGACTACTCTGTACATGGTTTCTCTAAAAGTGTAAACTTATATGAAGATGACTTTTTAAATCATTATTGCCCGTCATAGACGTATTTATAAAAAAGACAGCTTCTTCGCTCTAATTTGACATTCTTGAGTAGTCTATATATGTGTCTGTATGTGGTATGGAACTATGAATTTTCAAATCCCTCAGCTAACTATGTACTACTAAGTTCACAAAATTGAATGCTTGTATGCCTTATTTTTAAATAAAAATCCGTTTTTGTTATAATTTTATTCTTGTTGGCAAGTCTTTGTATCCCTGAATGATAACAATATACCTACAAAACATTAACTTTGAAATAGACTGGCTGAAGTTCTAATAGGACTTATTAAGCCAATGAAATTATATCTAAACTAATGAATTATCGATAATATCGGAAAGAATCCTACGACATAAATTATTCAGTAATTCACTGCCGATATATGCTTACGCTCATAAACAAAATATTAAGAATTTTTACTGAATATTTATAAAACTTTATACAAATTGAAACCCACCTTAATTTTTCTTTATTTGCCAATTGCTCATCTTTTAACTGACTTTTAAGTTTAACATGTATCTGTTGAAATTCTGTTTGAGATTGAATAAATTCTTCAAGTAATTTATCATAATTGATTTGAGCTTTTTCCAGTTCAATTTGTTTTCGTTTAATTTCCTGTTCATATTTTGTTTTCTATAGGAAGTTAGATAAGTAGATGTTTAGTTAAAATCTGATATATAACTGATAGTCAATAAATGTAGTTATTTTAAAGATGACTAAAAAAGTAACATCGACCTAAATTCATAATAATGAAGAGAATAATTGTCCTTATAAAATATTTACTTATAATTCACCTCATCTATTAATTGAAAATAAAAGAAAATAAGATGAATTTCGTTTGCATAATAATATTATTAGGTTAGTAAAACTGAATATCATTGTGACTGTTTAACAGCAAATGAAATAAGTTGACATTCATCTTTACTTTATGACGCTTAAGATTACTCTTATTGATTACCCACGGATATTTTTCACAATTCAGCTAAATCTTTACGAATTGCTATACTTCAAAATGGTTGGTAGAAAGTTAGGGGCAGCCAAACCAAAACGTGGCATCAGTTCACAAAGTCACTAAATTTTAGTCTGAGCCATGTTGGGAGATGTAGACTGCTTGGTTAGGGTCCGCGCGATTATCGTAACCAATGGTTGGAGACTCTTGATGACATGGCTCAGAATCGATCACAATTGTGTAGGTGTATACACACTCTGTCTTCCCTTAAACTATGAGGTTAAATTCGCTTCATATCTTTCTTTCTACGAACTAATTCTTTCTTCCTATACTATGTCCTTATATGCAATCTTTCTTTTATACGTTACCACCATTGAATTAACCACTTCTATGAATCCAGTTTTCATCCTGCTGTTCTAATGAGGTGTGGCAACTTGGACCGATGCATAAATGTGTCTGGTCCTACACTGTAACTGACTGACTGACCGACTATATACAGAATCTAGAATAATACTTTATAATAGTAGAACAGTTTTTGATAATCTGATCATGAAAGCAATTTTACAAAATATTTAAATCCATAACATCAAAATGTGTAATAGAACTACGGTGCTATTGAATATTGATTTTAAAAATGTTTACAATAAAAAAAATAATGTTGATTATAATTGGAATTAATGTGCTGACATTAAATCGTCCATTCAAATAACAAAAGGAAAAAAATTATTTTTCTATAACTGTTATATTATTGAGATGGTTAGATTCAGTTAAAAGGCTCAAATAGTCTCATTACCGAATGACGAATGTAGTTGATTTGTAATGTTTGTCTATTTCAAGAAACTTAACCTAAAGCACACTATTATAAAATAAGATGATGTTGTGATCATGGGAATGCATTTTGAAGTACCATTTTACATTTAAAATTAAAAAAATATATCTTCAAAAACTCATCATTTTTTCTTTGATGCACTCAGATAGCAGAACATTCTTCAGAATCTGATTTTGTAACCATAATAGATAAACAACGGCATCTTATCTCATTATGGTAGAATTCTCCATTCCTTTAAATAAAACTAATTTGCCATTAAAAAATTATTTATTAAATGAATAAAATTCAGAAACCATTGTACAGAAAATTTGAACTTCAAAGAACCACTAACTTTATTCCATTGGTCCAGGTTGTAGAAAAATATTGTTAAGTGTTTTTTTGTTGCCTAAACTACTACGACTACTACTATTAAAAAATAACACAGTTAAACCTGTCCACATATTAATCTATCTATGGATTTAAATATAAACTGACAGACTGATAGGTCCTGGGTTCAAATCTCGAGGGGTGCGAGATCGTGGATGAGCACTGCTGAGGAGTCTCATACTAGGACAAAACGGCCGTCCAGTGCTTCCAGGTTTTCTATGGTGGTCTAGCTTCAATTGACTTATTATTTCAATCAGTGAAATTAAATATAAACTATTTAATTAGCATACTTGATCTATTTCATTTTCATTTATATGATAATTACTTTGTTCAACATATAATTGTTGATCAGTTTCTGTACTCGAATCAATAATTGTAAAATTCTTCATTTCATTGTTATTTTTCTATTTAAAAGAAAAATAAAATAAAGAAAAAAGATTTTTATTTTATAAAAGGAAATAGAAAATTATATTTTTAAGGAAACACGCAAGAGTAGTAATAAAAAGGAATAAAATAAAATAATGAATGGATGAGTTTCGTGACAGTAAGCAACAAAACAAAAAATAACAATAATCATTTCTATAATTTCACATGAATAAAATCAACAGAAAATTACTAACTTACTAAATTAACATAAGAAGGTAAGTATTTAAACGGATATATTGTCTTATATCATAGTTATGTAGCACTGTATGTATGTAGGCAATTTTCTAACTTCTTAAGAATCTAAATAATTGGTAATACTTATTCAAATTATCACCAATATTTGTTTATCAATATTTAGGTTAATAAACACTACAGATGAATATTCACTTTTCCATTAACGGAATCAACTTTTGCTAGGAGTATAGAGTTTCTGATGGAATTAGAAATCGATTAATGGCAGCGATAAATAGAATGTTCAATGCAACAAATATAAAATTGACGTTCACTAGTAGGAACTTATTTTTTGTATCTATAAAAGATACAGTTCTTCTTCTGGTCACCTCTATGTGAATTTAGCAATTCATTTGCTCTTGTCGAGCAAGGTACATAAGCCATAACCGGCTGTTGTTTTCAACTCAGATACGAGGACATATCCCATTATGATTCTACAATGGTGAGAAGAAAGTAGTTAGAAGTTCCGTTCTTGAACATCTTACCGACTCTAGTCATTCCACTGATCCACAGGTTGATTTTGAGGTTATGCATATAATTCGTCCAAATCTACATAGATTTCTTCCTATCCAACTCTTTAAAAATGAGAAGCTCTCGCCATTCATGAGATATAGCTAGAACTGTGCGTACAATCTTTACCATGGCCTTGAACTATTACTAATATTATAATTCGCATTTGAAAATATCCCTCTCTTCAATTATTTCTCATATCCCAATGAATTTATTTACAACTGTTTCTGATATCACTTCATTTAACTCATCTATTACCTGTAATTATCATAACAAAAATGTTTTATTTATCTTACTCCATTCACATAATAACCCGTTGTGAACCTATTAATTTTACAAGGCCTATTATTTGCACAAATACAATCTTTTATTGTTATTATTTTCAGTACGAAATCAAGTATAATAATCTTTCTATTGAATCATCATGTTTATTTTTTGTTCATATGTCCTTGCGGAACTATTACTTACTTAGAATATCACTACAACCTGACTGTAGCTACTGCCTTAACGTGGTGGTCAAGTTTGTCTGAAACACATGTTCTTTTAGATACTATCATTCAAGATAGGTCCGTTTGGGAACGATAAGACTAAAAGCAGCCACTTAATGTTCGAGGGCAAAGTAGTACTGCAGGTTCTAGAGGAGTGTGACGACGCTAAAATGTTTCCTTCGGACAACCAGCATCTTCAGCAAAAAAGGTCGACAGTGAAAATATCATACAACACCTTAACCCATGGATTTCCGTGTCCGGGGATAAAGCCTATGGAAGTACAGAGTATACACATTAAAAACTTTTCATAAGAAGGCCATGCGTGACAGGTCTCAAGCATTTATACCTTGGATTTTGCAGTCATGCTCCCAGGTCGGTAAGACCACCGGTGATTCAGCTCCCTTCTCAGGTTAATGAAGAAGAGATATTCTCCCACAGCGCGGGCAGTTGGGAAGTGACAACAGACCGAGACCATATTGTCGACGATCAAATCCCTGCCTCATTTTTTATTGGTTGCTCCATCCCCATAATAAAACCTTTTTACGTATCTTTATCACCGCGCTCCACCGATGTCAATGATTCACGCTCATGAAATGTTTGTCACAGTATTCTGAAATCGCGCTCTAATCCACATGTCGGAGCTTTTAATTTTTGAACTTTTTATCAGATAGTAACATAGGCTTCTCTAGCTAGGACTCTAGAACCTCACGCCATTGATGTGTGTCGCGCCTCAGAAGCGCGTATACAGGATCCAAGTACAGTCACGCATTTGACAGCACTTGTCAACATAAGGAATCGACACGAATTACCCTTCAAGTACCTGGAGATCCCACTGTTATTCCCTGTGGTCTCTCTGGTGTAGGTGTAGCATTAATTTCAAAATCAGAAAAGGCTCTTCCAGACTTAATTCCAACAGGCAGCCACTTGTGTGCTGTCCAACTAAACGGAATGGTAAGAACTCAAAAACATAGAGACACAAGATGTTGCCTTTTCGTTGTCTTTGATTACTCTCCCACTGATTGCAGCTCCAACAAAGTTTGAGATGAATTTCATGGGAGGCTATCTAACCTTCAGAAAGCTAGACGCTCTAATTTAGAAATGATTGCAGTTGTTTATTTATTTATTTGAACACATAAATATTAGTACAAGGGGGCACCAGATACATTTGCACCACACAATAATAATGAGAATGGGAAGAGATAAATTATGTGAGGTGCGTGTAAAAAAGAAAAAAAGACAATATAGACCACAAATTAGTGTATGGTAGTGAAATAGTAATAATAATGAGGGGATTTTAATGTTGATGTAGGTAAAATAAACCAGACTGAAACCCACTTTGTCGGATCTTACGGAGTTGCGGCTCGGCTACCAGATAATGGCGACCGTCTGTTGAAAGTGTGCTCAGATAAATGTCTATTGATGGCAAACACTACCTTGAAATATAAGGAGAATCATTTTCTGACGTTGCGACCTAGAAAATCGACTCATCGATGGACTCAAGTAGGTCACATCGCCATCACTCATCGCTGGAGAGGCTCTAAGGAAGATTATCGCTCATTCTGGAGCACATATTTAGACTCGGAAGTAAGAAGAAAGCCCTTTAGAGTTCAACTTAACGATTGTAAAGATAAGAATATATTACAGAAATAACTAGTGAAGGAGTAAGTCAACCATGAAATTTATATCGACCTCCATGTAGCTCGGCATAACATCCAAAAAGCTTTTGAAGCACAGTTATACCTGCTGCTAACTTAAACAAAAAGATTGAGAAAGATCGGTTGATTTCAGCGGCGTCTACAGAACTGATAGATGCACGGAGACTCATCCCGTCTTACTCCAAATACGATAAGGGGAGGAGGAAGCTCAAATATACACTGATAAAAAGCGTACATAATTACCGTGAGTAGTGGTGGGTAGCGAAAGAAGAAGAGATGGAAAAAGAAGCAGGGATAGGTAACTGTAGGCAACTGTTAAGACTAATCAAGAAATGGGGTATTAAAAATCCAGCTATAATTAAAAATGTTTCGGAAAAACACAGGACTATTATTCGCTTTCAACCCAAAAGATCGGATCGATAAGCCTAACATCCTAGGGGACAGTTCTACTGGCCTTCAGCCACACTCCAATTACCTACTAAATCCAAGCAACCTGACTGGCAAACTGATGTAAGTCTTCTAACTTCTAGTGAGGTAGAAAGGGCTACAAGTGATTTAAAGCGGTGGAGAGCAGCAGAGTCAGACGAACCAACCTCTGAGAAGTTTAGGTACAGCAGTCGGATTAACTGAAATCTTATCTAGAATCTTGGGAGCGGACGTAATCCCATCTGACTATTCTCGATTGCCGATTGTCCCACTTTATTAAGAAATGACGAAAATCCTCCCGTAACAGTCACAAAGAAATCATTTTAAATGGAACTGTCTAAAATATTCGTCACAATACTTCAGAGACTAACGAGAGCTCACGAAGAGCAAAGCTGATAAAACTAGACCAGACCTGAATGTGGAAGCGTAAACAAACTTTTCGTTGTCCAACTATGGTTGTATTCCTTGATCTTACTAAGGCGGAATCTGTTAACCTTGCAGTTCTGTGACAATGTCTGTCACTACTAGTCGAGGCATAGGTTATGGTGAACCGTCATCGGAATTAGTTACTTTAAGTGGTGTTTGTCACAGTTTTCCGCTTTTCCCATTTTTATTTAAATCTGTCATAGGCATGCTTTTAGAAATAACTTTTATCGTCTGACTTTTCAGGTATTGATCTCCTACCAGTTGATTTACTTTGTGACGTAGATGATATCGTTCTGTTTGTTGAAGGCTCTGACAAAATGCAATCCTCTGACTACCTTAAGTAACAATGCAAGCATGTTTGGGATGAGGTTTTCTTCCTCCAAATGAGAAATGTTACTTCTGGATTGACTTGTGTCATCGCCTGGATCAGTGATATAGAGTGAATTACTTGAACCCATCGGCCACTCGAATTATCTTGAGAGTCTCATTAGTCCTGATAGTCTGACGAAATCTCAGCACGAATTCAGAAGACTAGACTGGCTTTTGCCAAGATACCCGTCCTTCTACCAAAAGGTGAGTTTACTGCGCAGCATTTCACTCCGTTCTACTTTATGGATGTGAAACATGGCCATTAGGAGGAGAGGATATTCGTACTTTGCCAGTATTCGATCACAGGTGTCAACAAAGCATTGCTCATGAATTTTGGGAGCACCGAATAAACAATGCCTGGGTTAGGAATATAGTACCAGATAAAGATAAGGGTGGTAAATCTTCATCAACTGAGGTAGTTAAGAAATGTGTTACGTGGGGTCAACCACGCCTACCTTGACGAGTGTTGTCTAGTGTGGGAGTAGGTTGGGAGAAATATGTGGGAGGCGAAACCAACGCATGTTACTATTCGATGAGGTCATTGATTACTGGCCTCAACTATGTTAACAGATACAAACTACCTGGTTGAAGTATGAGTGATTATCGTAATCAGTGAATAGAAAATTTGAATAAAGTGACTCAAAACGGTTGCAATGGCGCAGATGTATCCATTCTTTGTCTTCCCTCAAACCCTATGTTTCTATATTCCCCATAACGTTTGATCTTTTTATGTCACTAATTTATATTTTCTCGAATCGTACCTTTGATGGCTAATCTTTCTCATCACCACTGATACTGTTACCAACTCAGCTATTCAGAGACGTTACCTGATAAGTCTTTATTTCGCCATGCTGATAAGATACGGTAACTTGATCCGATTTACACACGTACCAGATTCTACGTTTTGACTGACTGACTGAGTGACTCGAAATCGTGACACATCATTGGAATTATAGCTAGGGTCACTCAGTGTAACATTTAGAGACGTCAGTACTGAATTAGTCAAGATGTCACTATACTTCTTTTGGATTGAGTCTTAGTATACACAGAATACATCAGTCATCATGGTTGTTTCATTTCTCCTACTTTGGTTCCGTCAACCGGGTAGTATCATTAGCCTTCATACCCAGGGAGTGGTTCATACCCAAATGCTTGGTGAATCATTTAACGTAAAAAAAGTGAGACTCGTGGTTCATCGTTTGGACGTAGTTTCATCTTAGTGAATCCCGGTTATGGCACTTGACTTTCAAGTCTCAATGTAAATGACAAATGGTACTTAAATCCCTAGAAAAAAATTTGTTTCCTACCTAAAAACCTAAATATCTTCACATTGACAATTACAAAATATTTTACAAACTAGCTCAGAACTTTCAAATAAATATTTCATTAATAGGTCTTATTTCTCATCACCAATTTAGATATGGTGTTAATTTCAACATTTCCTGAGATAATCGGTTCCATTCAATAGGCTTTAAACTTCGATCAATCCATAATATTAGCCATGACTTCTTTTGCCTCAACAAAAACAGTTGGTTCTTATTGTAAATCAAAAGAGCATGTGATTTTAAGTAATTTGGCTTTATGTAAGAGTGATATATAAGCACACTAGTTAAGATCCATCTTTCTATATAAATTGAACTAGATAAACAAGTTCGGATTACAAGGAATTCAATTAATGAACGTGATATTCACTAGTAAAACAGTAGCTCTAATGTGAAAAGTTAAAGCTTCATACATCACTGTTTGTTCAGACACTTCAATATTATGTTATGTCTAAGTCTATTCATTAACGTGCTCTGAGACAGATGAATTTCTATGAACTTATGTAGACCGCTTGTCCTTTTACTATCACTAATACTTAATTCATGGTGGTGGTTTTCGTTTCTAAATGGTAGTTCAAGAAATGCAACTTATTTGACTGGAACGTTGTACGGATTTTGCAGTACAAGCAAGTCTTCTAATGTAAATTTATTACCAAATAAAAGAAACGTTTCCTTTCTATATACCTTGTTTAACTGGAAAACGCTTCTTAGAAATTTTCTCTATAAATTTAGGTAAATTTGATGCTCTAAATGTCATTATCAACCAATAAACAACTATATTAAAGACACTTCACAACTAATTACTTGAGAAATAAACAAAATAGATTCACACTTACTAATTCCTCATCAGTTTGAACACTTTGATCAAGATTTTTTCTTATGTTTTCTGACAACTGATTGATGTGATCGCTTGTTGAGAATAAAATAACATTTATATAGGAATAATAAATATTTCTAAATAATTATATTTACAGGCAAAGATAGATAGTGGCTAGCAGTGAAATTCAGGGTGCGCTTTTCGTCCTGTTCGGGATCTATCAGATGGATGTACCTGCATCGCAGAGTCCATGTTCACTCTGGGACTCTAACCCGGCACCGTTCTCTCCAAACGCCATCGCGTTATCCGGGAGGTAACATCAACTTTGGAATGCAGGTGCATCCAGCTGACGAGTCCCGAACGGGACGAAACGCGTGTCATGGATTTCATTGCTATCCACTATCCATCTTTGCTTACAATGTTTGTGAACTGAGGTAATATCGAGGCAATGTGTCAATAAGAGATTGATCAACTTCAGTCCTGATCATCAATGGAAAGTTTCAAGTAAACAATACCAGGTGAATTATATTTACATTTAATAAATGTACTTTCATTACACAGAATTCTATTAATCCGTATTTTATAAAGAAAACAATAATATGATGTCATTGTATTACAGTCTTTGGAAATATATTGTTACTATTTCGAGAAATTTTGTTGTTTAGGTCAAAAATGAAAAATAATACCATTTAGAGGAATAAGTCGGAAAAACAACTTAATTAAAAAATATTTTAGATTACAGATTAATTTATAGAACTTAGTCTTGTAACATTAAATAATAGTAATTAAAGGTACAATTATTAATTTGTCTTGTGCGCGAGACTCATTAGACCCAAGTTCAAATCTCGAGTGGCGGGAGTTCCACAATAGTACGAAACGGCCATCCAATGCTTCCAAGTTTTCTATATTCGTCTAGCTTTAACTGACTCATGAATTCAACTATTAATTTACTATAATATCCACGAAACCTTTCTCTGATTTTTTCAATCATCTACATAAAAATTTACTAATATATACAAAAAGATAAGTAAAACATAGATTATAAGTCTAACAATAAGATATCATATTCTAATCAAGTATTTTCTTCAGATTCCTAACATTGTTCAACTCTTTATTCACTTTTAATTAAAATAGCATATACATATCTTTAAAGAAAACAGCGTAAGGGATCAATAAGAGGTAAACCCAAGACACTTGTATACTATATTCCTGATTATGATGTAATCAAGCTTTGGGTATGTATTTATTAATTCGCCTTCAACAATGATGGATATCTTCATGTAGTGTTTACTTATATATTAATTTTAATACAAATTAGTACAATTTCTGTTAAATGCTAAATATATTTCATTGTTATACTAGACATACCTTGATTTTTTTTTAGTTATCTGTTCTGTTACTTGATCATTATTATTTCTAGACTGATCTATTTTATTCACTTCTATTTTCATTTCCCATTGTTTATTCATAGTTATGATTGTTTTTTCATAATTATTTGTGATTTCTTCTAATTTTGCTTTATATTGCGATTCAAACTGTTGTATCGTTTCACTACGTACACGTGCACATTCACGACCTACAGTTTCAGACCATTTACGATCAAGTTCAGCAACTAAATCGGTAAATCTTGAACTTTTCTCTAACTAAATAAAAACATTTTTGATAAATAAAAAAACTAATCAATAAATAGAATTTCAAAGGAACAATGCTGAAACCTTGTACCGGTTTTTTTAAGAAAAAATTCACAATGATTAAAAATAAGGATAAAATAGGAAGAATCAATGAATGAATGAGGGGAGGGGAGGAAGAAATTTTCATTTTCGATGAATACACATCCGATTGATTGTAACAACACAAAAAATAGAAAAAAAACAACAGAGTAAGTGATAAGAAATAAAGAAAAAGAAATAAGAAAAACACAAATAAGAATAAGAGAACAGGTGAGCAATATACAACATTTTCACATGATCATCTAATTTAATTTGATCACATATCCACAAGTTTAACTATTTTTTTCTATAAATAAAATAGAACATGGAAAAAATATTAAAAAGAAAAAGAATAAAGAAAAATAATCCTTTTGAACTTAAATAGAAAACCAGGTAAAGTACAAAAAAAAACTACGTAAACATATTGAATAACATTGGGAAACTTTTCTTGAAGTTCACAGAATTCGATTTTATCCACTAAACTTTTTTTCTAAAAAAGAAACAACCTGATATTCATCATTCACATAAAAACTTTAGCTAACATGAAAACATTACAAACCACAGTCATAGACATTGAAGTATCATTAACTAAGAGTAAATTAACAAATATTTTGGTGATAATTGTGATCATTATGATTATCCTCTAATAGAACATGCAATCAAATAATTATTCTAATTTGATGATATACTCACTAGTAGTATAACTAAAATTAATTGAATTTTCTGACATTTCTCTTGTTTATGAAATGAATAAATTTTGAGAATTAACTTTAAAGTAAATCATCTTAAGAGTTAGATCAAGATATTTCCATCAGAAAAACGTTATCACAAAATTCTGTGAATGAATTCATTGATTATAAGATAGACAACAATCAATAAATTCTAGATGATCATCTTCATTACCATAACATGAGCATCATATATATCAGTTGAATAGTTTACATTTTTTATTATCATTGAATTAATCAAAGAAATAAAATGCTATTTTGTTTTCATTAAACCGGACCATTTTTAGATTCATTTATAATAATACGAAGAATATATACATATTTATACTTTTATTTAAACTTGTAAACTGTGTTACGCATATTAATTTTACACCTTGTCATTGGTTAATAACAGGTATAGTTTCTATGAAGAATTACAATAAAAATCTACACATTTGTGGGAATGCTCATCAAATGAGTACACTGACAATTAGAGTTCCACAAAATTAAAGTACTCTTCAAATTTATCAACGTTATATTCTTCACTGAATATTAGCATCCTTTTTTAAGTACCTTTCTATCAATTTAACATATAGTTTATATGTACTTCATTCATGATATTATGGTATAAATTATGCTTAATGATAATGAATATATTGTTGGCATATTAGTTGTTATTATGAAGCTTAAAACAATATTGTTTTATTTTTTTAAACAGCCAACAGTCCATAACTTTTTTTAATATTGAAATCATGTACAAAACGAATCGTGTTACTACAGAATTCACCAAACAAAATTTCATTCTTAATTTCACTACATGTTTTTATAAAGTTGATTGATCATTATACTCCTCCTTCAGATTTCATTCTTTTCTTGAAGATCAGTCAATCAGTTTTTATCATGTACATAAAAAAATCACATTTACTTAAATTTCGAATCCTGATACTTCAATTACCAGATAAAATTCACATGATTATTACGGAAAGCAATGAATTGATCGATTTCAGTGCGAATGATATATGAAATTAATTTTTCCTAGTTGTCGCTGACATGTATCCACATCTTAAAGAGTAATTATATAACAATGTATCCATTATATCTATTGGTTATAGATGGTTATTTGTATGTCTATATATATGACTAACCGATGTTAAATACTTCTCACTTTATTTCATACAAATTTAATTAATAATCTGAAGATATGTAAATTGTTGAAAAAGTGGTGTATTCATACATCATTTTCATCTATTACCGGGGTTAAATAAGTGGATGTCATCAGTGTTTGGGATCTAATCACGTGTGGTCGGATTCGAGTTTTTTAGTACCAAATACAAGCCAGTTATACATTAAGCAAATATTAAAGAAACAGACATAACAGTGATTACATTAAAAATGGATTCAATATTGAGGCCTATAAACCAACATAAACTGATCAGTTCAACAGGGATAATATAAACATTAATAATTAATACTACATATTATGTTCATGAAATAGGTTGATCCCTATAACGATTAGTGGTCAAATAGATAACATTATAGGTTCGAAGTAATGGTTAACTGGTTCAAATTTTAAAGTATACCGTAGCATTAAAATACAAATTTACTCAGCTTATAAGTATTTAAACTGAACAAAATGTGTGATCCAGATTTCATCCTTAACCACTAATCATAAATGTAATTAAATTAAGATTTCGGTACCGATATAAGAAACTCTTTCAAACTCTTAAACCAATCTTTAACTATTTAATAATTACTACTGGTTCATTGCATGAAATGCTTTTTCTGAAATTAACTTGAGTTTTCTATTTTTACCATTAAAAATTTCAAAAAAGAGAAAATTCAATATTCAAAGTGAAAAACCTATTCACAATGGCGTTTATTTTAAAAAACATTAAAATTTATCTGAATAGATTTCAATGTTCATGTGTAATATGATACAATGAAAAAATGTGGACAATTTCAAGTTTAAAGCAATAAATTATTCTCTAAGAAAGTTAAGAAATTGAATTTGGCTCTTTTACTGTATGCGTATATAAATAATGATCACGATCATTTGCATAAGTGAATAAGCGTATAAACTATAAAAGTATACTAACTAGTAAAAGCAAAAGAAGAGAAATAAAGTCTATCACCATTGGATGATGACTCAGTGGTCCAGTAGGTTAAGCGTTCGCGCGCGAGGCCGAAGGCCCTGGGTTCGAATCCCACGGGCGGGATCGTGGATGCACTGCTGAGGAGTCCCACAGTAGGACGAAAAGGCTGTCCAGTGCTTCCAGGTTTCCAAAGGTGGTCTAACATCAATCGGTTCATAATCTCAATCAAAAAGTCTTCATAGTTGTACACTATTGATAATTTATCAATTACTTTAATAGAAACATAAATATTAGAAATATTTATTAAAAAGAGAAATTATTATGAGGTAATAAAAGATAACTGCCAAATGAATATATTCTAAGGATAGTACAATAAGATGATTAGATAGACAAAGTGAATAATAAGTAAACTTATAATCTATCCACGCAATATACCGATATAAATCATATTTATTATCAATAGCATAATTTCCTTTTTAATTGTAAAGAAAACGATAGTTTGACAGTTAGACTTCTTTAACAAAGAAATTAAATAAATAAAACCAAAAAAATTTCTTAATGCAGTGGATGACTTTTGAGATAAGTAGTTATCAGCCAGTATTCATTATAATAAGAAATTTAATTAACTATTACACAATAATTAGAATGTACCCTACCATTGTTATATATGTGTTTTACAATTATCTTGAGTAGTTAACGGCAATGTGTTTATGTAATCGTAAGGAAAATGGTTCATTATATGGAATTAAAATCTCTGTTATCCTTTATTAACAAGCAATAAATTTAGATTTATATATTTGCAAACTGGCATCAGTCATCAAATATTAAACAGACTAAATTATTCAGAGTAATGCCTGACGATGAAATCTGATTAATATAATTTAATCATCTTGATGGATGAAACAAAATGACTATAGTTATCACTACTAGATCATTTTCATACAGAAAATTGTTAGTAGATCAATACACTGAAGGGTTTATGTTATTTGACTGTTGATATTCAGGATTAAAGATGAATAAACTCTGTTGGTATATGGGTTAATAATAATAATAATAATAAAAGCTGTACCATTTGAACAAGTTTTTGAGTGTAGTAACTCAATAACTTAGTACATAATCTGCTTCCATTTAAAGCTATTGATATTAAATTCGATTGTCAGTGTGAAAATCAACTTTTGACTACGGCTATATCCAGTCAACCGATTCAACTGCAAGCTAACATTCATAAAATAAATCGATTTGTTTACATTCACTTTAAACGCTATAATTTTGTCAAACGTTTCACTAAATTTCATTTTTTTCTCTAATAGTTTGGAAGTATTATTGTCGGCAACTACTCAACAATCAATTGTAAATAAATACAAATACAATTAAAAATAAGTACTGAATGTAAAGCATGTAGATGTACAGATTAATATGAAGACTGAAAGCTCATATCAATCAGTCACTGTCCTAAGAACTGCCTTATGATAAGATCTGATTAGGAACAGCTACTCTCTGATTGTTCAGTATTTTGTAAATGGCTAGCATGAAATCGCGGATGTTCATTTCATCTCATTTAGGAATTGCAAACTCTTGCAAGACGAATATCTAATATAGATAGAAACATTCTGTTTTAAAGTTTTGAGTTATGGTTTATTTATAGTTCATTCTCAGTACTGGAGATTTTTTGTAGCAATTAAAATGGTACATTGAGTACAGATTACAATAAAAAACACTATACTTCTTACAAATATTTGTCATCAATACATATATTTAAACAAAATTGTTTCTATTCCAGAAGAGTTATAAAAGACAAATAATACTCATTTTCGAATTTGCGCTCATTTTTATAATCGGTAACTGAATGAGTGTCATTTAAGTAGTTGGACAATTTTTCATTGAAGTATTTTACAGATAAGAATAAAATAGTACTTTCATGATGGCTTTTGAAGGACATATAAAATTAATTTACAGTGGGGAAAGTGTAAACGTTTACTCATTCGAATAATATATTTCATTAACCAATAACAATTACAGATTAAATTATAGAGCATACTGATGAAATTCAAACTCTTAGATATTTTATATCGAAGAAAATACTGGTTAAATTTATGTTCATCTTTGCAGACAGTAGATCAATTTGATGAGACTATAATTTATAGACGACCTTTGAGCAATGCTATAATAACTTTGAGACAATTCACCTACTTACCCCTGTCAAAAGAGGATTATAAATTAACATGGGGAATTAGGATTTGGATTTAGAGTTGAAATTTAAAGTTATGAATTAAAGTAAAGGTTTTAATCATCGATTAAGATAAGCTATAATCGCAAAACGCTATTTAACTATATGGATGAATGAATTTCGCGTCCGGATTCAAAGCCCGTTATCTTTAATCTCATTGGTTCGTCTATAAACTATAGTTTCGCCAATTTTACCATTTCAGCATACAATCTGGAACTCATAGTCTGATTATCAATATATCTTAGTCAAATTAACTTTAGACGATATATTTTAAGTAGAATAAAACGATAGCTTTGGTAAATTTGAATTCATCTAAAACTCCCTTACGTAACTCAGTTTTGAAACAAATGAACGTTTAATATAGTATAGGACTTATGCTAACAAAATAATTATAATGAGAATCTATTTTCATATATGTATAGAATAGGATAAAAAAGAATTAAAAAAGAAACTTTCTTTAGCTTGCTTTGATAAGTTTTCGTAGTCAGTCCTCATTCGTTCCATTTCATTTGATAGTTTAACTAACTGTTTCTCTAGATTTTCCTTCATTTTACATTCATTTGTTAGTTTCAATTCAATTTGTTTGTTAGTAAGTTGACATTCTTCAAGTTCCTTTGTTAGTTTATTAATTACTTGTTCTAGATTACTTTTTATCTTAATAATCTATGAAATAAATAATTTTGAATTTATTACAAATCATAATAATGTTAGTAATTATTATTATTATTATCATCATCATTTAACTGAATAGAAAGCGGTTTTAGCACAAAAACGATAGTGGAGTTTCACGTATTCTTCCAATACATAATTTTGTATAGGAATTCTTTTCTTTCTGATAATGTCTACTAATTATTACTAATTATTCTTATTTTCCACGTAGGGATTCTTCACTCAAATAAGGTTGATATGATGAGGCCAGTTTATCATTTGGAAAAAAAAATAATTTCATCTGAATAATAGATGTAATACAAAGTAATCGGTCAGTTAATGAAGACTTTCTACACAATATCAGTCAGTATGATTCCAGGTTTTAATTTGACGAAAGTTCCCTTGACTAATTAACATCAACTAAAGAACCCTTAGATCCAGGGAATAATTTCTTTTCGAAGTCCTTTTAAGGTGAGAATTTACAAATCCTCTTTATGCTATTGAGATCAGGATAATTAGGTTTTCCAGAGAGCACAACACATTTAGATCACTGGACTGAAATCCGGTGCTTCTTATTTCTAACGCTTATCAATTTATTGTACAGCATGAAAATTAGGTAGAATGATATGTAGTCACTGTTTCACTTTCGATCCGAGTGAATTCCATCAGTCATGACTTCTTACTGTAACTTAGATAATTTACCTCGAAGCTAGTCACTGGTTAGTATTTGAACGCTGTTTAGCTTGAGAGAAATTAATTTAATTCTTAGAGATTTAGTGGAGCCCTTTATTTTGTCGTCATTCAGATCGGACGGTGTTGTCGACGGGCTCTTCACTTTAGTGGCACGACATCTGACTCCAGTTTGATCGTATGAATGATTTTTATTGAATGATTGCTGTCGAAATGTATATATCACCTGTCCTCGTATATAATTATCGACTCAAATCACGTTAGTCAATAACGGAATTAAATAAGTCAAATAACGAGAATGGACTTTTGAATACATATATTTTGTATATGAAACGAATGAAATAGAGCGAAGCAAAACGATGTGCAGTGGAGATGGTGGGTAAACCAACTCCATGTAATCAAGCTTTAATCAATAGTTATAGTCACACAAATTTAAGCTACCGACATGTGATGAATGGGATTAGAAGGGCACACACATATGCGATCACATAAAAACGGTCAAGATTGATAAGCGAATAATTAAAAATGTCAAAATATGACTGGAGTAGAATGAGTAGATTGGCCTGTCCGAAAGCCAGAATAAGTTATATGGCCTTGACATAATAAACGACACTACAGAGTTTTGGTCAAAAGTCTAACATAGTTATAAAAGTGCACGAATCACAATCAGTGAGGAAGACGTTATTGAACTTATAACGTGTTATTTATTCTAAAAATCTTAGTTAATTTCTCTGCCTATTCCCTATCTTGTAATGACTTTCACCGATTCATAATGAATAAATTAGTAATTTTATCAGTATATGAATTCGTGGAGATTGCAATATGTTCACTAGTCGATATTAGCTACACCACCATTAAAAATCTGGAAGCGCTAGACGATCGTATCATCCTAGTAAAGACTCCTCAAAGGTGCGCAAATCAAATTTTAAATATTACCAACTTACTTCATTTTCATATTCTTGATTTTGTTTAGTAAGTTTCAACTTTAATTCCTTATTTACTTGTTGAAGTTGTTCAATCTCATTTTGTTTTACTATTGTAATATTTCTAATAGTAGATTCTTTTTCCTTTCAAAAAAATAAATTAATCAACATGGAAACATTTAAAAATATTTTTTTTCATTAAATACCCATTAATAAATTTGAAAATAAAAAGGCCATATCATAACAACAAAAAATAAAGGATGGAATTGTAGTTGGCAAACTAATGACAATATTTCTTAGGATATTTCATATAACAAGTGTATGGTAATAAAAATTTTGATGTTAACATGTAAAAACGAGTCGGTACTTTTTCTTAACTTTCGGTTAGAAACATTAAGCAAACAGATTTGTATTAAATCTTTTTTTAAGTTCTGTTGAAATTATAAAAAGCAAGCAAGGCAACATTTCAAAGAAAAGTGGGCAGTGATTGTTACAAAACATACATTTTTATCTGTATTGATAAATACCTGGGAAACTCTTTGTTGTACTACAAAACACATGATTAGCTATTAACTATTTGTGTTAGTTATGATATTAAAATTATGCTTATCTCACATCTAAAGGCAATATTTATGAGAGGAAAAGGGCCTGGTTTTATAGTTTTACCAACAAGCATTCTCGTTGTAATAAAATAAGTAAGATATGGTGAGAAAAATAACGTACTAGTGTGGTTGTGATTCAGTTGTGAAATATTATCTATAATTATCGGCTTTCTCAAAACTGCATATTCAATACTGTTGTTTGGTATATGACTTGAAGTAGCGAAATTCTAGGGTAATAATTCTAAACTACTTTTAAATGATAGAGAAATGTTCATGTTGATTTATGAAATTCATTCAGTTAATTTGTTGAATGCTATTGTGAAATGATATATGTATTTAGTGCCAACTCTGTCTTAGGATACAAACATTGACTAAAGTAAGGAAGTATCGAACAATATTTCTAACAGCAGGAAAGCTCCGAAGGTAAATTATTTATCAAAATACATTTTGTTTTACGGTATACATATATATATATATATATATATATATATATATACATAAAGAGAACTAAACGTGTAAATAACTTGGTTCATTAATACCAAACACCATTTTCAGGAGTATGCTTTTGACTGCATTTGTTTATTCAATATGCTTTTAATCATACTTGAAATGAACACTTCACTTGCTCAAACTAGACATATATTATCAAGTCAGCTGGTCAAACGCATACGAAGTCAACAATAGATCTTTTTTTAAAGTATCGATCTATAATATTTATGGCTACCATAAATTTAATGGGTTTTTTTTTGTAAACTGAAGAACCTTATTAAAAAACAAAATCTTCAAAGAAAACAAGTACTTAATTTCAATAGGGAACACCTATTAATCGGCATTAAAATTCAATACATTTTTGACATTTCAACTAAAGTATAAATGTTTATTGAAAGGCTAAAACTAAACTAAATCTAAATAGATAAGATACATTTTTTTCTCTAACTTTCATCAATCATATTAATTTTAAGGAAAAGAGAAATTGCCAAAATTTTAGTTCATTCCGAATAATTTTACATTCAAATTGTTATAGCTAATGTTTGTTTTTTGTAATGTTCTATAGATTATACAAATCCATTTAAGTATAACTTATGTTTGAAAATGAATATAGATATGTTTAGCAACTTTACAATTTTTACATTGATATTGCAGAGTGCGTTACTGATGCCGAAACTAATCGAAAATGAAATACCAGGAGATAGAAGCTTAAAATGATCAAAGAAAAAAGAGTGAGAACAAAGAATGATTAGTATAGAAACGTAAGAACAATGAAATCTGAGACGATTGATTAACATTTTGCAAATAAAGTAATTACTGTATACTTTTCAGATTTTACTAGGATATTCTGTAATTTGTGTATACCCCCAGTTTCGTTCTCAATCATGACAATATTGATCAGATTACATGAAACCATAATAATAAGTTAAGTATGGGACTCCCCAGCAGTGTGCATCCACTACCCCGCCCCCCGCGAGATTCGAACCGAGGATTCAGGTCTACCTTCAATTGACTCATGATTTCAACTATTGAAACTACTAAAATCTTCACAAAATCCCTTCTGATAATAATCATCTACTCACTAGTGACTAACATAAAGAGGCACTCCTGGAGTTCTAGTGAGAAGCCATGACCAGTGGAGTTCGACCAGGTCTGTTGTGAGATATCAGCTCACTGAAGACAATGGTGCACGGTGGCACAATTTCGTGGACTGGTTGAAGTTAGACATTAACACCATTGGATGCCTGCTCAGTGGTCGAATGGATAAGCTCCCGTGCGTGACACTGATAGGTCCTAGGTTCGAATCTCGCAAGGCGAGGTCGTGGTTGCGCACTGCTGGGGAGCCCCATACTAGAACGAAACGGCCGTCCAGTGCCTTCGACTTTTTCCATGGTGATCTAGCTTTAATTGACTCATGATTTCAACTATTGCAATAAGTTAAGTAAGAAAAAATAATATTTCATTACTGTTATTGAAACTAAAACATAATTATTACATAATTTAAACTGAAATTATTTATTTAGAAAGTTCTTTACTGAATATTGATGGTATTGTTAATATAAATGATCAAATTCAAGTAATAAATCACAGTACACACATATATACCAATAAAAGACTAATCAATTACAATCTTAAACATGAATGAGAAGATTTAAGTAAATATTAAACTAAATGAATTTACCTTATTTATTTTTTGTTCAATTTCATTGTATAATGTTTTACGTAAATCAATCATTTTCTGATTTAATAAATTTTCATATTTTATTTTTATTTCTTGTTTTAAAAGCATAGTAACATGAGATAAATTCATTTTCATTTGTTCAATATTCAATAGAGAACTTTCAAATACCCCTTTTAAATTCTTTTTTTTTAAATAAAAAAGATTTTAAAAAATAATTGTTATATTAATTTGAGAATTAAGACAATTTATAGGAATTAAATACAACAATTGTTTAGCTAATAAACATTAACCCATAGCAGCCTATTTGAATATCTTGACTACATGTTTCTGTTATCATAATGATTATTTAAACACATAATCTATTCAAATGCGTTTGTGAAAAGTGTACAACCTTTCGTTGTAAAAATTACAATAAGTCCAATCAGTGATATTATAGTTGCTGGAAATATACATAGAAAAGAATATACATTATTCAGATGTTGATTGACCAAACTTCTGACTGATGATCATTCAATATTTATCGTCAAGATCAACCAAGAAATAAGAAACAGAAACTTTTTTGAAATACTTCGAGCTGAGAATTCCATATTGCACTAAAAATATTTTACATATATATATATATATATATATATATATATATATATATACATGGAAGCAATGGACGGGCATTTCGTCCTATCGTGGGATTCCTCAGCAGTGCGCATCCATGACATCGCCCCCTGCGAGATTCGAATCCGGAACCTACTGGTTTCGCGCGCGAGCACTTTGTTCATTTTCTATTTCTCTACTGAAACTAGTATTTAATGGAACAATTTTAGAAAGAAGTCAGGTTTTCTTAATACTCAATTAAATAAACAATTTTCAACTTAAAATTTATAATAACAAAATGGTATTTGTAGTAGATCTTAAATAATATTTTGCTTACATTTAGAAATAACAATGTCATATATCAGTAAATATATTGCTGAATAGTGTGATACTTAAACTGTCAACAAAGTAAATTCATCAAATGTCTACAGTGGAGTTTTGTAGAAAATCAATCTTGAAAGGTATAGAAATTCCAGAAAATTTTTTAAATAGTATACTTAATAATCTTCACTGATAATTTAAAAAAAGCTCAAAGATCATTCTGAATCACTGAGTGCTCTAAAAATCAAGCAAATTGCCTTAAGTTATACAGCTTGAAGTGATTTACAGATCTGAGATTAAATCATCAATTGAGCAAGTTTAATTATCCCAACTAAAATGGACTTTGTCAGTTTTATCATACGAAGTGTTTAGACTCTATAACTTTTATTCACTAGCGAATAAAATATGCTCACGGCATTTTTATTCAGATTTTAGATCAGCATTATTACAAGTTAAATGAAAAATAAAAGGGTTCGAGATCTTAGAATATATATTTGATAATATACTGTTATTAATTCGTGAATGTTCGTCAGCAAGTATTCTTATATAAGTATCTGTCTTCAAAAAGCCACTATTTATTGTTCACTGTTTTCTAATTACCCAAATGTTTGTATAAGTGCTACATCATGTTCCATTTTTGTATTTACTTTTACGTTGAATCAGAAAATCTGGCGTACTACAAAATGATTTCTATCGGCCATATAGTGACCATTTACTTTACTTTGAAGCTCTTTGACATTTGTGAGAAACATTAAACTAGCCACCTGAAACAAGTCCACTTTCTTCAAAAATATTTACTTTAATAAAAGTTGTATCATTCTGTAAAGACATGTTTAAAATTTTAGGCTTAAACAATTCCCTTTCCATTGGATTGTTGTTAACACAATGTTAACAGTCATCACTGTCTAAGTGCTTAATAATTAATCGATGATAATCTTAAGCTGACTGTCTATCGCTAGTTACATAATAAAACGCAATTCATGCCTAATACTCCATCTGTAATGGCTATTTACCAATAACTAATATTACAGTAAGCAAGTTCACTATATGATAACATACTCGTAATTTGACTGTGAAATTCTCCTTTAAATGAATTAAGTTGGATTTTTCAGAAGAAAGTTGCTTTCTTAGCAGTTGTGATTTATTTTCTAAGACTTTTATTAACTTTCTTGATTCTTTTAATTTCAGTTGAACATCTTCATATTTGGAGTTTAAAATTAAGTTTTGTTTGTCAAGCTGATTTTCTAATGAAATATTTCATCAAAAAGAAAGTGGAAAATTTATTATGAAAATCAGCTCACTTGAGACAAAGTTAAATGAATGTAGACTTGAACCTGCTATTATGCTGAAGCTGAGATTAAATGGCATTATTGATGGACACCCAACAACTGAGACGAAATCGAACAAACAACACATTACCTACTCTTAATTAGTACTTTTGTGGTTTCCCAATAACATTATAAACCTTTAAATTTTATTTCTCATTGAAACATGTTTACACATTGATGTAAAAAGTACTCAAATGTATATGACAATAATAAGCGTCTAACGTTTGGTTTCAATACACTACAGTGAGTGTAAATGTGATCTAGTAAAACACAAAAGTACTACTTGTCCTTTAACAAGAAAAAATTCCAAAATATTTTACTATCGGAGATTTTTACTGACCTATTTTCGAGTATTCCATACATAATTACTTCTCTCATTAAGCAATTAGAAACAGTGTTAACGGTTTCTGAAACTATTCATTTTGTAGCTCTTAAAAAAAGGGGTATTTCATTTAGGCATGAAAATGATGTTTCATCATCAAAAATGACAAGTATATATTTCAATAATTAGTATCTTTTGAAGTATAACTCCGAATTAAGCTTGAAAATCAGTATGTTGATCATTAAATGATAAAAACCTGTATTCTCCCATGGATATCTGTATTTTGATGTTAGAATATGCTAATTCCATAGTTTGAAATGTTGAAGAATATTTTAAGTTCAGGTGGATTCTTTTGGAAGTATTTAGTTTTTTGAATTGGACTATTTAATTGTGATGCTTTTACTGGGTTTTTCTCGAATAAATGACTACTACTTTGAGTAGAATTCAACTTTTGAAATTATTTCAATAAGACAAACTTGTTTATAGCTTATTCACTTCTTACAATTCGTCGTCTTTATGTGTTTTTGGGTTCTCCATAATTGTTTTGTTCGACTACATGCAAGTTATTTAACACTCTGAAAAGTTAAACGCAATATTACCGGTCTCCCTGAAATGCAAACTCAAATTATTAGATTACATATAAATGACAAAACTGTCATCATTATACTCCCTGCATCCGATAACAATCACAATGGTATGACAAATAGAAGTGTTGATTAACTTCATGAAGTTGTGTGAAGTAGTTAATTCACCGTTATACCATCATTAATGTAAAAGGGTAAGTTGTATATAACGAAAAATCAAGATTTATTTTCAACAATTTCATTACCATAGTTCTATGGTTGGATTTTCATTCAATGCAAAACATATTTATAATTTACGGTATCCTTCTAGAATGTTGTGTGCAGTGTAGAACATAAAAGAAAGATGTAGATACGCATACAACAAACGTAAATTAAGTAACCGGATATCTTGTGTGATCACAAAACTAGAGTACCACATTTTTTTAAAAAATAAAACTTGAAATAAACACTCCACTTGTTCAAATTATGTGTATGAATATATCTAATTACCGTTTTTGGATTCTAATTGAGCTTCAGTTATCTTTATTTTTTCCAAACATTCATCATATTCTTTTTTTAATTGTAAATATTTCATATTCCTCTGAGAGAGAAATAAAAAAGTCATGTTTATCAATTAAACTGATAAGTTACAATTTAAGAACATAGTCATCTCTCTCCCCAAATATATATATATATATATATATATATATATATATATATATATATATATATATATATATATATATATATAGTTTAATAAATGAGATCATATTTGCGTATAGCTTATAGACAGCGGTTAGATCAAAAATCGACAACTTTTGCTGAAGGTTTTCGATCTTAGATTTAAATCCACAATTAAACATGATCCATTTAATTCAGACTGATAATTTGTTCCATTGTTTAACCAGTCAGTCGAAACCATCAATTTATTTTCCTATTGTAGTTCTATGCTGATTATGAATATTTATCGAGAAGTATCTTTTCTACTAAATAATAAATATAAACAATCATAGGCCAGGTGTTACCTTTTGATATTCCTGTAACTCAGTGAGACATAAGGTACCGGAATAGGTTATAATTATATTGTTCAACACAATTCAATCTATATTTAGTAGTCAACTCACTTGGTTATATCACTAAGGATGATAAAACTATTGATATTGAGCCAAATCAATTGGTGTATAACATTTCATCTGGCACCTTTTTCCTTCGATGATTTAAACATGTTTTTGAAGTTAATTTCTGAATGACTCGTACACTGAATCAGTTGCAGCACCTCTAGTTAGTAATTCTCAACCTTACTTTTACAAACGACTTAACCCATCATTTATTCAATATTTCAAACTTACGTCAAGTGAGGATTGATAAACAAATGTTCATTTGTAGCTGTTTTAAAAATGGCCGACTATGCTTCGCAAGTTCAATATCAAATCAATGTAACAACTCAATTTACGATTCACTAACGTGCGATAATATTTTATTTTATTTCAGCCTAGTGGGTTTTAAAAAACAGTCTTTTGATACAAAACGTGTTAATTTAAAGGCTTTTTGGAGTACGTTTAACTTCTAGGTTACATTCATTCTTGTAGTTCCAGTGGTCAGTCGTGACCGGTGGACTTTAGACTAATGTGGAGTGAGACATTTTTTGTTACGAAAATTAGAATACAACATGATTAAAGTTGGAAATGTATACCATTGTATAGCAGCCTATCGGTCTAATGATTAAATATTCACTATAAGACCTGAAAGTCATAAGTTTGACCCTTATTAGGGTCATGAATACACTACAAAAGAGTGTTATGCTAAGAAAAAAAACAGCTTTTCAATGCTTTCGTCTTATTAGTGATATCTGAACTGAAGTCACACCCCGATAAGTTCCACTTCTAACTACGTCTTTTAACCTTAAAATGCAAATCAACAATTAAAATAGTATAATCTTGAATTTTATTTGATATATACATTCATTACATTGATCAGATCTATTTTTTTTATAGTTTGTTTAAGCTATTTAAAGAATATGAAAAACTAAAATAATCCATACTCTAGAAGTATAGAAAGTAGTAAGATTTTATAAACTATGATAATTGATAACCGATCCCTTCATGTTTATACAGTATTGACACTGATGTATATTTTCATATCACTCATACTAAGTTGATTAATCTAATATTATTATTTCCCAAATTAGATTACTGAAATGAAAAAGTACTTGAGTTGTTTATCAACTTAATTTAAACTTCCTTTATTAAATCAAGTCCAGTTCAGTAATCAAATATACATTTATTTCACTGAAATTTAAACTGTACACAAGATCATGGTATATAAATCTAAATGGAATTAGTTCCAATTACGTAATACTTATCGAAACCCATGAAAACACGATCAATTATCTCGTAGTCACAGGGAAGAGATTAATGTAGAAAACTTTAAAATGATCCGAAAAAAATGAACAAAATAATATATTTAGATCATTTACAATTATAAAAAGGAAATTATCGATAAATTATGTAAGAACCCTTAAAAGTTTACTTAACTTAATTGAAAATCTTCGGTGTAAAATTAACGTTCCTTCTCATGTTGAATGTTAAACTCATGTTAAAATACTGAAAAAACTCTATAATAAACCAACTATAAAACTTAAATCATTCATTTATCTGGTATTACTCTGTAAATAAACATGAAGACTCAGTTGAAAACTGGAATGTTACAACTATTCGATTGGATGTTTTTATTTATAATGAGGGTATTTCATTGAAATAGTGTACAAATTATTCAGTTGTTTAATTCAACTGAACAGATTAATTACAAACATTATTCAACAGAAAGTATGCAAGTAAACACTGATTAAATCTGGAAGAATCATGATTATTCAAATGAATTCTAAGTGTTAATACCCTTTTTTTAATGAAAAAAAAAAGGAAGAGACTAGAGTTGCACTAATGCTTAGTTTGCATTTCATCACTGATAATAATGGTTGATGAATTTGTTGGAATTTCTAAAGATTCAAAGATTAATGAGTCTGTAAGACTAGAAATTCTTCTAGATAGTTAATAACTAATTCATAAACTTTTAGTAACGAGTAGGTATAAATAACTGATATTATATTTAATAAATTTTCAGCAATAAAAACTAAATAATTCTAAAGTTTCTTCTCATAATGAAGTTTGAGTTGCAAAATTTTGGTTGTTTCACTGAAACTTAAAATTTAAACTATATATATATATACTGCATCATGAAGTGAACCTTGATGAGGTTCAAAAAGGCAATAAAAGCTTATTAGTTAAACCAAATGACTCAAAGAGATTAAAACTACCAAAAGCATCTACCAAAGCTACGAGTTTTGTCCATCATGTTAGAATGACACCCAGCTTAAGAGTTAAAAACTCGCTTTTCAGAGATTGAAACTTGCTAATACTGAAGGTGTAAGTGCATGTTATATTGGCGCATTCGTACATAAAGCCTATATACTAATACAGACTGAATATTAACCGAAAAACTACAAAGATTTCAACCAGCAATATTTATCTTCATTTTTATTCAGCTTTCTGCGCTGCTCTTATGTTGATATAAGATGTTTACATGAAAACAATCTTTTAATTATTTTTGTTTATATACGCAGTGCAAAGTTATCCATGTCATTTTCATCTTTATTCGTTGTTCTTTCGACTGTAATAGAACAGTGTATGACTCCCTGTCATTTATTTTGACAATCAAATTATCCCATATTTTTACCAGGACGGAGATTTCATAATTTTATACTTCTTTAACTACTATCCTATCCTTATTCGAATATACAGATTCTTAAAGATATTAAGGTAATTACTTGGTCAAATTGTAGATTATTTATCAAAACTATTCTGCTTTGATAAAACAAAATAATTTCTCATTAATAACCATGTCCTTATTAAGCCTGTTCTTCTCAACTTTCAACTGAAAATAATCAATTCTCCCGTTATTATCGTCAAATATGTTGAAATGGCTTCCAAGAACTACGACGAAACCTTCAGAGGCCCTAGACGAGCTGAAGAGTTCCACCCAATCAGAACGCAATGAAGCTTTCTAGAATATTAACGTGGCATGCTACTACTGATTAGTAGCATAACATGACTTTTTGAGGATTGGTTGAATTATAATGTTGGTTTAACAAACGCTAATATCTATAAATTCCCATGATTTTCTGTACATTTTTATTCATGCTCAACAAGTACTTTCTCCAGTCTTCTTCTGTCTTCGCATTTGCAACTTGGTATGGTTTTAGCGTTCGAGTGCTCAAGTTGTACGCAGTATATTAGAAATCTAAGCTCTAGATATAAAAAATGAGTTTCAAAGTAGATTATTATCAGTGTTCGAATCGTAATATTATCACTTTTTCAGCTATCTATTCACTTGTAGATTTTTCAATCAGCTCTACATTGTATTCTGTAAGTATATTTCACCTTTTTAGGAGCTTATGATTACGGTTTCTTCAGTAAATCAAACCAATCCCATGAACATCTACTTTCATATGCTATTAAGATTTCTCATTTTTAAATATTAATGTTTAGTTCTAACATTATATTTGTCAACCCAATGTTCTATCTATTTAACACAAAGATATAGTAAGCATTGATTGTACTAGACAAACATTATCAATCTATCATAAGTTATCATATTTTTTTGGATATTATATTCAACTAGTTGGAGAAAAATTGATTTTATCAATGTCATAGAAATCAATAAATAATTAAATATCAAAGGGTTGTATGGATATTATAGTAATTCCAATGGTTGAGATCATGAGTCAATTGAAGTTAGACCACCATGGAAAACCTGGAAGCACTGGACGGTTGTTTCGTCCTGTTGTAGGACTCCTCAGTAGTGCACATCCACGATCCTGCACCCCCCACGCGAGGTTCGAGCCCAAGACCTATTAATGTCGCGCGCGAGCGCATAACCACTAGACCACTGACACGGACGGCATCCAACGGTGTTAATGTCAAACTTCAACCAATCCACGAAATTGAGTGACACGTGCACTATTGTGAGCAGTGTGTTACTATCTCACAACAGACCCGGTTGAACTACACTGGTCCTGTGGTGTGTGCTAATTATATCGACATAAGTAGTATATGATTTTAGTCAGAAACAGAATGTCTGGCAGCAGAGAACAGTAAAGAATGGGAACAGAATGCAATTTGTATGAAAATGCAAGAACAATGAAGTCTGAGTCATTATGAGACAAATGATGGAGATCTTGCAAATTACGTATTTACTATTTGATTGTTAGATTTTATTAACAAGTCCTGTAATTTTGTGTCAAATACATTCGATTGTCCCCAGTGGTGTCCGTGTTCACTATAGTCCCTGCTCCTCACTAAAACTTTAGGAAATACCTATTGGAACTAGTCACTAGTGAGCATATGTTAATTCATATCAGGAGTTTTGTGGAGATTGTATTAATTTCAATAGTTGAGATCATGAGTCAATTGAGGCTATATCACCATGGGAAACCTGGAAGCACTGAACGGCTGTTTCGTCCCATAAGTCCTGGGTTCGAATTTCGTGAGGCGAGGTCGTGGATGCGCACTGCTAAGGAGTCCCACGATAGGACGAAACGACCGTTCAGTGCTTCCAGGTTTTCCATGGTGATCTAGCTTCAATTGACTAAGGATCTCAACTAGTGAAATAACTAAATGAAGAAAAAAACACAAAAAAAAAACTAACATAAACAATTGAAATCAAAACAAACTGATATAATTTACTTCTTTTTCTAAATTCATTTGTTCATCATTTTTTATAATTAATTCTTTCTTTAAATTATCTTCAATTAATTGTAAATCAATAATTTTTCTATGAAATTTTTCATATTCTAATTTTGTTTCCTTTTGATAATTTATATATTCTGTATTAAGCTAATAAATAAAAATAAATAATTGAAACATTGAAAAATCTAATGTTCAACTCTTGATAGTTTTTATAATTACCCCGAAAAAAAACTTTTATTCTCATATTCTAAACAATGTCAATAATAAGCAAAGGTAATATAGTGAATAGTAATGGAATCAAAGATGAGCATTTCATCCCACATAGGACTCGTTAGCTGGATGTACCTGAATCTCAGAATTGATGTTCACACTAGGACTTGAACCCATTACCGTTCCAGGAGGCGCGCTGCGTTCTATTTGAATTCCACTACTAACCATTATCTATCTTTGCCTATTATCCTTGTGACTTCGGGCGATATCAAAGAAATTTGTACAGGATGAATATATGCCAATATGAGACTAATTAATTGCAGTCCTAAACATCAATAGGAAAACTCAAACAACCAATACAAAAATGGGTTAAAATGTTGATAATATTTCGCATTAAATCTAAGAAGAAATATTTACTAAGTTTGTGTTTATTAGCTTGACCACAGTTATTTATCGTTTGACATTTCAACATCATCAGTTACATCTTTATTATAATCAATAATTTTGTTGATTCGAGGTTAAATATGTATTAAATTGAGTCTAAGTTAGTTGATTGGAACATTGATAATTTTAAAACGTATTACTCGGTCACAAATTAACATACCTTACAATTCAACTAATATTTAGGATTTTCCAATGTAATATGAAAGATACCTCAGAAAGGTATTAAGACAAATTAAAAAGTATTTAGAACATATATTATGCCCTTTTATACTTACTTTTAATAATTTAAATATTCCTAATCTACCTAAAACAAATATTTAAACAAAGAATATTCTCTTTTCTTAAAAATAAGTTCCCATATGGTACATTGAAATTATTAATTTGAATAAATTTAGATAATGTACAGTAAGTGAAGTAATAACGTAACTCCAATTTATAACATTCATTCAGTAACAGGTTATGTAATGTATGGAACTATATAAACCGAGTAACTGGAGTTGCACCTGACAACTAACCAGAATGAGGCGAGACTTATTATTTACACAATCTTATTCCATGATGAATAGGGTGTTTTGTTCTCTGTCGTTTGTATTAGCTTACATGAAAAATGTAAAGTTCTCGACGACGCAAATACAACTCAATCATGCTACTTTAAATTTTTGACCTTGTGTTGAAGATATATATGGAAGGATCCAAGCAAACTTTATGACGGAGCTTGTCGAGATGTAGTTGGTACCTTGAGATTTAAGGCAATAGCTCGAAAATAATTGAAATGCCTTACGACTTGTAAACTTGAATTTCATGTACACTAGAGGAAACTAAACAATTTAAAACAGCACAATAAGTGGTAACTTCAATTTTTCACAGAGATTGAATAAATTTCTTTAGACAACTATGATTTGACCTCTTTTCATATATATAGGACATTCACGAAATACCAGACAAAATAAGCAAGTGCAACATCGAAGAATTATGGTTTCAAAGATCATGAACCATAAGAAAAGTACACAAAATCCTTACAGAATGTTATTAATTAGCGTTCAGATTAAAAAAATTAATTCCCTGAGTATACACAATGGCAGCTAGTAATTCAGTGATCATATAATTACCACCAAACCAGCAACCGAAATGGATGAAACAAATCAAAGATTATTGCTTTTCTGAAGTCATGGACACAAACGTTTAAAGTCAAATTCCATTCTGATTTCTACTCCCTATCTGATTTTGACACTATTTAAACTAAATACTCTTTTCAGTCAATAATAAATCCGTCTATTATTTCATCTAAATAATACAATTCAATTGTCAATGGTGAATTTACTTTTCGACTGACTGGGATAACGTTCAGTGCTTTGACATAATTCAATGTACAATGATAAATATTCGACTGAGATCATGAACCGATTGGTGTTAGAACACCGTTGGAAACCTGGAAGCACTGGACGGCAGTTTCGTCCCACTGCGAGACTCCCCAGCAGTGCGTATCCACAGTCCCACCTGCGGAGTTCGAACCCAGGGCCTTCAGTCCCGCGTGCGAACGCTTAACCTACTGAACCACTGAACCGGCATCCAATGGTGTTAATGTCTAAAATCAACCAATCCACAAAATTGCGCGACCATCTTCTATTGTACTACGGCAGATACCTGTCTCTACCCGACACGGATTAGCTCAACCGGTCATGGCTTCTCACTAGAACTCTGAGAATTCCCTCACGAAGCTAGTCACCAGTGAGCACATGTTAATTGTCAGTATGATGGAAGATGGTCGCGCAATTTCGTGGATTGGTTGATGTTAGGCACTAACACAATTGGATGGTGGCTCAGTGGTCCAGTAGGTGGTCTAACATCAATCGGTTCATGATCTCAATCAAAACAATAATATTCACAACCCCTATACTGATAAATACTCGAATAATTCCAAGTATATATATATCAATACATACTTTATCATATTTTAATTTTGAACTTTCAATATGATTCTCTAAATTATACTTGATTTCTTCATTTAATTTATGTAATTTTGATAATTCTATTTGAAATTCTTCTCTTTCTTGATTTAATCGACCTTGCCAAATATTGTTTAAATGAATTTCTGTATTATGTTTTATAAAATTGCTTAATTCATTTTTTTCTTCATTATTTCTAATAATTGATTGATCATAGATATATTGTTGATTTTTTAAGTCTTGTAAAAGTTTTTTATTGATTTCTAATAGTTCATTTTCTTTTCTATTTTCTTCATCTTTAATATTTTTGATAAGTTCTTGAATTTTACATTCATACGAATCTGTAAGAACTTTGATTCTATCTAAATTATAATATAAATTTATATGTTAAATGAAAGGAACGAAAAATGTATTAAATGCAAATAGTTGAGATCATAAGTCAATTGAAGCTAGACTACCCTCGAAAACCTGGAAACACTGGGTGGCCGTTTCGTCCTATTTTAAGATTCCTCGTCAAGTCGCACCTACGATCCCAACTCGCGTGATTCGAACCCACAACCTATAGATCTTGTGCGTGAATGCTTAACCTCTAGCCTCGTGATCTCAACTATTAAATTACTATAATATCCACAAAAACCACTCTCTGATACTAATCAGCGTATGCTCACTAGTAGCTGGTTTCAAGAGGTATTTCCAGGAGTTCTAGTGGGAAACAGTGACCAGTGGAGTTAAATCGGGTCTGTTGTGAGATAGTAACTCACTGAAGACAATAGTCAACGTGTGGCTCAATTTCGTGGATTGGTTGAAGTTAGACATTGACCCCTTTCTGATATTATATACAAATAATTTGCAGACTGTAAACATCCTATATTTCATAAAGTATATTGATAAAGAAGAAAATAAAATGACACTGATAACTCCCAACTACTTTGAAAACTATTGAAATATAAGTTCCCTACAGTTTATCCGTTTTGTGAAGTTGAATAAAGCCAAAATAACAATTAATACAAAGAAATGTAAATTCATTATATACTGTGGTTTATTTTCAGAGCCTTATAAATGTATTCATGTAAAAGTGTAACACTTAAATGTAATATAACACAGAGTAGTAGACACGTGTCAAGAAGAGTTGGAATAACAACAGTTATCAGTAACATACATATGGAGTTTGGACACTAATAGAATTAGGTAGTAGCTATGGAAGATTTAGAGTTTACAAAAGTTTAAGATCATTTGAACATAAACGCAGAAAACGTAGAGTGGTGAGGTAGTAATTATTTAGATTCCTTAACTGATAAGATGGGTTATGTGATAATTTTGAAAGTTTTGAAGAGTTTACACATGTTTGACGAAATGAGCGAGTAAGAGAATGATAAACTGGTGACTATTTCTTTCTAGGCATATAAATCGTATTTGAGTTTTTAAATTTCTACTTTTTCAGTGGAACAAATATAAGCTATATTATTCTGTCTATTGATAATTTTGGTAATTTATTCGTATATCAGAAGGCATATACATTTAAAAAACGAAGGCAAGAGTACATGTTCTCATTTGCAATCATGTTCCAAAAAATTTAAGACTAAAATAGTTTAATAGCTCCAAAGAGTGCAATACATTTTCATTAAACTAACATTGAAAATATTATTGACATCCACCAATCTCTTAAAATTATCAGCAGACAAAATAACGTAGCATAATGAACAACTGTTATTATTTGTACCCTTAATTAATCATGAAGAAGTAATCACAAAATATCCCGTTAGGTTTTGTCTGTAGCAATAGCCTACTTACAATATACTTCTATGCTAAGGAATTAATTACCTAAAGAAGGGCTACCTGAATTTCCATCAAACAAACCAGTTGTCCCAGTTGCCATATTCCGAGGAACTTTGGGACAAAATAATATTACAAAGGAAGTGGAGTTACAAATGCATAATTCTGTCGAAATAAGTCACTTGATCTGATAAATACTGTTTTTGACAAACATCTCAAGCATCCTGAGCCTCATCTTTGAGCTTTAAAAAGAAAACGGCTGGAAAAAACAATTAGACAACAGCACACTAGTTTCCGATTTCTACTGGTTGTTACATTGTCTTCAATTTGTTAAGCACTAATCTTTTCTAATGATTACCCTACAGCATATCATACTACTTACTAATATTCAGTAGCTTATGTTGTTTTCAGATATTTTTGTCGAATTGCAGAACGTGGGGTCTATTTCAATTCGATATAAATTACTGTCCCCATCCATGTATACTCTTAATTCTATCGTTCTACTTCGTTTACCTACATGTAACATTACCGTTTCTTTCGCTTATCGGTTAGTATCTACTGTATGTGCTACCTGTTGAAACTCACTAATTTTTTAGCAACTTACTTCATTTCGATGGGTAGATGTGAATTTATCTTCTTTAATCGCTGCTATGCATTATACAATACAGTACTTTGTCCCTTGATTTATGATTCGTGTTGTAACTCTATATATGCCTGAGAAAGGAGCTTGCTTTTCTATGCCTTTAGAATCATTATCAAGGCCCGAATATCGTATGATTTATGATCTATAAATTCTTATTATTTATAATATCGTATATCCAGACAAATTTCATCATTCGGGCTTCGGAATTTTACGAATTACAATAATATTAACCATCAGAATGTGAATTAACTTTTCTATAACTACAGTACCGAAACTTCTCTAGCTTAAGTATCTAAATGCTATTAAACGATTAAACATCCAACTGTATTTTGTTCGAATAATGCCTACACCTAAATGTATTTATGATAGTCATGTTCTCGATTTAATACAGGCTTCATGTAAAACACAATTGCTCAAACGATCTTAGTAGCAAAGTCACTTAATCCACGAAATGCCTACACAGGATTGTATGAAAACGAAAGTCAATCCTCAAATGCATTTTCTCACTGCTTCATTATTTATATACCATAAAAGTTTTTTAAATATAAAGGGTTTACAATTAAAGTTTAGTGGCCATTTAGTTTTCAAATATGGCCCATCCGAATAACCGCGAAAAGAAATAATCCACCTGTTGGTTTGTTGACTAAAATTTTAAACGACTCATTAAGTAGTTTTATAATTTACACATTGGTTTTTAAGCATCTCAATTGGCTTATATTTTAACTGTACTGTATTTTGTGGACCGTTTACAAACACTTTGCACACTTACCTTCTACTTCCGTTTCTAATGATGAATACTTCTCTTGTAATCTTTGAAATTCACATTCCAGTTGCAATTTCTCGTTAAGAATCGGTTCTGTGTTTGGACATTGGTGAGATTTCCACTGTTCAGCAAGGCATTGAATTGTATTTAATTCTTTTTCATATTTTTCTTTATGCTCAGCAATAGTCTGTTGTAGTTTAATTATTTCTTCACTATGTTTTACTCTCAACATATCTTCTTTTAAATGATGCTCATTTATTAACTGACTACATTTCTGTTCAATTTAAATATTACAAATGAGAACTTTTTTCAAATGTTATTCATTTATTCTGAGAACAAACGGCAAATTTGTTTGCATCATTTACTCCCCAAATCATACTACTACAACAAAATATGTTTATAGGATGGACTCATTTAGATATATCATTGTCAATAGACATCCTTTGAGAGTCAAACTTTCTATGTAGTCATGTTTTAACTGTATTTATTCATTTTATTTGTTTATGTTACTAAAAGCATATTTAGAAAATTTGAAATTCAATATAATGACAGAACTATGACTATTAGACGTCTTGGCAACTATTTTATTGGGTAGACTTACTACAGTCTAAAGAACAAACAGGTGAAAAAAACTCCAATATATCAGGTTCTCTTATATAAATAGGCATCGAAACACGATATGATGATGCGAACTTTAAAATAGCACACTGTATATGGAGCAATTCTTTCTTACTTAAATGATCATGTCGATTTGGAGTAATCACAACTTGAGAAAACAGGAAACAAAATGTGACAAAGAAAAGCAGGATTCCAGATCATCTGGACCATATTCATATGTATACGTGGATTTTCGTTTTCGTTTGTATATATCAGCAAACACAGAGCTAGACAACACATTCTTTCTAGGTTTTGTATAAATAAGACAAAATATGTAGTAAACTGCCAGAAAATATCGTCAACCTGTCGTCATTCGGTTAGAAATGAATAGCTTTTTTCGGAATTTCTGTCCATATAAATCAAATATTGGCTTGATATTGTGAGCTCTAGTTTGCCTGTGCGTAGATGAGGCCGATAATATGGAACAAAACATACAGTTGGGAAGCATCAGCGAATAAAAACATAAACCAAAAGAATATTCAATCATAAGAAAAGAAAGATTACATCTTAACGCCGTCAGGTGTTTGCCAAAAGACGTAGTAATTCGAAGGCAATTTAGTATTTCTGAAGTAGCTATTAAAATAGCTCTACCTATGACTCTCCTATGGCTACCGCTTAGAGGAAGAACAAGTGCCGATGGACTGGAAAGAAGGATACCTCGTCAACATATCAAAGTAAGAAGATACCAGCGAGTGTGAGGACTACAGAGGTATCACACTACTGTCAGTATCGAGAAACGTTTTCAACAGTGTTGCTGAACGGAATGAAAGACGCAGTAGACACCCAGCTTTAAGATCAACAGGGCGAATTCCGTAAGTATCAGTCGTGTACAGACCGAATCACGACACTACGGATCATTTTTGAGCAATCGATTGAATGGGATTCGTCACCATACATCAACTTTCTTCGACTATGAGAAAGTGTTTGACAGTGTGGATAGAAGGACCTTATGGAACCTTCGTATATACTATAGTGTGCCTGAGAAGATTGTCAGCATCATACGGAATTCGTGAGACGGACTACACCGTAAAGTCGTGAATGGGGGTCAACTGACAGACGTATTCCGAGTGAAGACTAGTGTCAGGCAAGCCTGCTTACTCTATCTCTCTCTTTCTTCCGGTGGTTGACTGGATTATCAAGACTTCGACATCTCAGGGAAAGCACAGAATACAATGGACAGCTTGGATACAAACAGACGATTTGGACTTCGCAGATGACCTAGCCCTTCTATCCCATACACATGAGCAAATGCAGGTCATGATAACCAGTGTACCAAAAGCCTCTGCATCAGTAAGCCTCAACATACACAAGGGAAAAAGTAGGATCCTCAAATACAACACGGAGAATACCAGCACAATCACACTTGATGGAAGACCTCTGGAAGAGATGGAGAGTTTTACGTAACCGGACCGCATCATTGATCAACAAGGTGGGTCTAATGCACATGTAAAGGCACGGACTAGCAAAGTAAGGGCCACATTTCTACAAATGAAGGACATGTGGAGCTCCAAACAACTGCCAGACAACAAAGTCACAATCTTCAATACGAATATCAAGACAGTTCTACTGTACAGGGCTGAGACTTGGAGAACTACTACAACTATCATCAAGAAAGTACAAGTATTTATAAACAGCTGTCTACGCAAGATACTGAATGTCCGTTGGCCGGTTACCATCAGCAACAGTCTACTGTGGGAGAGAACAGACCAGTTTCCAGCTGAAGAGAAAATTAGCAAAAGACGCTGGAAGTGGATAAGACATAAATTACGGAAATCATCAAACTGGATCACAAAGCAAGCGCTAACTTCAAATCCTAAAGGGGAACGGAAAATGGGAAGGCCAAAGAACACACTGTGACGGGAATCGGAAAGAGACATCAAAAAGATGAATAACAATTGGAAACAAATATAATGGATTGCCCAAAATAGAAACCGATGGAGAATGCGAGTAGGCAGCCTATGCTTCTCCACGAGAGGTAACAGGCGTAAGTAAGTAAGCTATTGAAATGGGATATAAAGAATTATTTCAGGTCAGCCGATATATATATAAGAACTTATTAGACCGCGAAAATAATTTCATCGAAATTAAAAGTCTATATTAGTATTTTAACAAAATATTTAGACGTTTATGATCAAAATGTCGTTTCGACATTTACCGAAGATTTCTTAGATATGGAATCAAAGCTAACCTGGTAGGACGCTGTTTCACAACTATTTCATATATCAACTCTGGAGGATTGATTAGTCTGAATGAGCTTTTTCCAAGCATTTAACTAGGACTAACAGAAATAATAATAAAGAGTGGTAATTGATAGATTATAGACTATCTAGAAATTCATGAGAAACTGAAAGGATACCATCATTAGTTTCGTTCATTGAAGTGATTATTTTTAACTGCTAAACATTTATCAACAAGTATATTCCCAGTGAGTATATTCTGTTTACATAACTATCAAAGAGTTGATCTAAGCAAACTAATCTCCTAACGATAGATAAGAAATATATGTATTGCACTTCTGACGCGAATAAAATTAAATATCCCTTTGACAACTAAATGCTTCAGTCTGTAAAGTGATGGTTTTAATTTGATATGTTTTCTTGTGGCAGACAAAGAAATGAGCAACGCCCCTAAAAAGCTATTACACATGAGGGTAGCTTTAATATGTTTTATTGTAGATTTTATCAACAGTTCTTACAAATAAAATAGTAATGAATCTATAAAATCTGAACTTCAGAGTAAATAGAAAAGTTGTAATACGACTAACTCAACCACAATTTAGCCACTTAACATCAATCGCTAAATGTTTATGAACACTATGTTCTTCTTCCGACTCCTTCTGAAGCTCTAATAATGTTGTAAGCCAGATTTAAGGCACTGACCGTGCAGCCACCTAATAACTCAACTGAGAAACAGATTTACTAGGACGAGTATATAAGCTAAAGGAAGTTTACTGGATGAGGTTTCTAATCGTTTCTGTAAAAAACACTCTAGTAAAGTAACTTTTGTCTTATCTACTCACCCGCTTTAAAATGATTATCTGTCACTCCATAAAAAGGCTCATGATAAACCGTCAAATCACCTATATTGGAAATGTTTCTCGAATTATTAGTTAAATTGTACGGAAACTCAACACGGCGAGTGAAGTGTTATTTCGCTAGTGCTTCGGGGATGTGGCTACATCAAAAATGTGCTATAAATCATCAAGATTGTTACTAAGTATTCAGACCTCGGATGGCTGCGATTTGTAACTCATGATGGTGATTTTTCTTGATTTGACATCTCTGTGTTAGATAGTCTTATTGTGAAGCTATCATTGTTTAACCAAATTCCATCATTAACGCAAACTTCAGACAGAAGCGAGTTATTAGAACGCGTCCATAAGTAATGAATAGCTTATCCTGTTTACGGTGACTAAGTTGTTGTCAAAAATTTTATTTTATTGCTTACGTTTTTGTTGTGTTTTTCCCTGATTACTTGACTTTCATAACTGTAATTGCTTGTGAAAGTGGAATGCCTAGTGATGAGCATCTTATACACCCGGTTTATTTTCAGGAACCTTCATAACCAGTTGGCCTGGAGAGGTGAAAGTTTAAGTTGGATAAAAGTTTAAATTCGGGGGTGGCGTGATTAAATGCACTTCGCAACGGCATAAAAGTTTTACAATACACTCAAGTATTACAAATAACTCACAGATTCCATGTTGATGATTTCCAATTCTTTTTCACTAATACTCTTTTCTAAGAAGGCTATGGTGTTCCCGAATCCTTTCTCCTCTTCAAGTCTAAGCTCTAAATCTCTCAGTTTCAGTTCATAGGAACTCTTTAGTTTGATAATTTCATTCTCGTGTTGCTTGGAAGTCTCCTTAAGTAGATCAACAGAATCCTCACCACGTGAGTTCAACATGCAAACCACTTTTGTCAATTGTGCAATCTTTTTAGACATTTTGTAGTGAATATCCTGGTCATGTCCCAACAGGTTGTTTGTCATGTAGGACTTGTAGTCGAAGGAGTATGCAGGCATAATTTTTAGTTGTTAATAATAATAAGGAATGTGCTACTCAATCCAACTGCTGGAAATGTCTTACGTGTAGAATAAAAAGTGCGATGCAAATACTGAGAGGTTAGCTTCCGGCATAAAGGCACGCTGTGTGTTGCGTGTAAAAAGGAAGATGAGTCTTTTCTGAAGAAACCTAGAATATAAGAACAAAAAATTAACAGATAACTAACTAATAACACATGGATCTATCGTGTTTAGCCATAAAAAACCTTCGAATGCAATTCATAGTGAAAATGGCACATGGCTAAGACAATATGAGAAACTAGGTTTCAGGGTAGCAACAATTCGAATGCGTTACAGGTGTCACTATCAAAATGTTGACTACGTTACTGTAGACACCGACCTAGACAAAATATAAATTTAAACTCACTGGCCAGTAGTTCAGTTTACCTTAGCAGGACTCCGTTAGAGCACCTTTTTAATCCTGAAGTTGGTTCTGAAAGTGAAAGACTGTTCAATTGTAGTTCATTTTTTTGCATTTGTGGCTCCTCGGTTCCATATTCTCATGTTAAGAGTTGAAGTCTGTAGTGGTAAATAAATCCCAAAATAAATAGTCCTGTAAGTCCCCGACATTGTCACTGATCCTATTGGTTCTACTAGGCAAACCCAGATAGATGCGCTCGGCAACGCACCCTCAACAGATCACGAGTTGGTACGCCGTACCACGAACCCCTTGCAACTGTTAGCCAACTTAGACCAAACGCTTCTCAACATGTCGATAGCCTTCCGAATAAATCTTCGAACCGCTTCATTTCTGACTTCTGATTTGACTGAGCTGGCATACTTTGACCATAAAGGTGGAATGTGTAAAGGTGTTGCCAAACTCTGAATACCTATGACATCTTTAGGATGTCAGTAGTCGCTTTTCCTAACTTTTATTTATAGCTGGAGTATACGAATACGAAATAGTAGGCAAACTGTATTGCCTAAGATACGGACTAAAAACCTCGTCCAAAAGCAGGTGGCCGAAGTTCTATAATTTCCCGATCCGATCGGAATCATTTTGCAATATCTTTATGAGTCCGAATGGTACAGGAACATAAGTGAAGGAAATACGTGAAATGTGGTTTCGTAAGACAAAGTTCGGTAAAACTGTCCTACTTGTCTGTCACGATTAGTCATCCTAAATATAGTGAATCTTTTAGTTCCCTATAGTACCCTTGCGGAGTCAGTAAGACCACTGAACCGTAATAAAATGTTCGGAAAACTGACTTCTTAACATGGAGTAATTCTCTAAATTTTGTCAAGTTCAATGATAATCACTCCCGATTGATAAATCCCATTATATCTGAAAAAGGGGTGTGGGAAATGGTGGGTTCAGGGGATTTACTCATGTTTTACGTGTCAAACAGATACATTCGGAACCATTATATATATATATATATATATATATATATATATATATATATATATATATATATTTGGTTGTGAATCGAAACACTCTTCCAGAATTGAAGACACTGTGTTATAAAGCAAACAAAAATTATCTTTTGAACGAATCTGTGCGCAGTCTGTCCAGACAGGATAGAACAACATTTATTTGTTGTGATTGGTTATTTTCTCGCATCCTTTATCAACCTCCTTATTTATTGTAATTTAGATTTGATTACTTGAACAATTATTGGTTAAATAGCTGGGTGGTCATATTTATTTGGGTAACAGTGTACATAAAAATTTATAATGAATTTCAGAACCGTCATTTTACCCAATCAATTTGTTTTGGTTTCAACCAGGCGAGGGCGCGTATCTAACCCAACTAGACAGCTATTCTTCAGTTCAAACCTTAGTTTGGATCTAACAGTTCTAAACAAATATGACCACCAAGCTGTTCTTCAGTCCAAATCTTAGTTTGGATTTAAGAGTTCTAAACAAATATCAATCGATTGATTGAACTTGGCTCGTGTTTCGTGGATTACAAGTTTCGTTCCTGAAGATATTCAGTCACCTCGGTCGTGATGCCAGATACTCATCAAAGGAAATTAAGTTCAAGGCTCGTCGGTATTAAGGGAGACGAACAAAAGAATGGATCCCCTATAACAAAGGCAAGTGCCCTTTGATGCTCTTATGTGTCATGGTTCAGACTCGAACAGGAGCAATTATCATGATGGTGAATCTAATTGTAATTCAATGGCAGAATCTTAGTGTAGATGTGAAGCACGGGAAGAACGTAATGCCTATGGTGCTTCTCGTAGATCTAGAGTTACCAAACGTTGAATTAAGTTATTTCGATGGACAACCAAGAGGTTGCTGGAAGTTTTTAAGGGAGTGTGAGACCTATGTAGAATCAAGGGTCATGGATGATAGTCAACGCCTGCTTTATTTGATACACTATTGTAGGGGTAGGGCGAAAACAGCCATTGAGGGTGCGTTGTGTTGGATGCTTCTGCTGGCTATAAGAAGGTCAGGGAAATCCTAAAACAGTTGTTTGGACAGGCACATATGATTGCTTGACAAACTTTAGAAGACTTATTCAAAACTGCAAATTTTGATTACAGTGACTGGGAGCAGCTACCAAGCCTAGTTATAAGAATGGAAAACTGTGTCATGGTCTTGGAACAGATGAAGTATACAGCTGATCTAAATTCTTCAATTACTTTAGAGTGGATAGTGAGGCCTTTACCTCAATCTATGCAAGCCCAGTGGGCGGACTTTGTGGGCAAATTGACTGAAGACGACAGAGAGCCGATGTTTGCCGAGCTCACTAAGTTTATAGCATCTTGTGTGAGAACAGCTAGTAATAGATTGGGACGGTTAGCGAATCAAGGACTCGACACCACTGCTGAACTAGTGTGTATATTATCGCGTTTTCGCAAGGAGGCAATTGCGATCTCGGCAGATATTGAGGAAATGTTCATACAAGTGAAGGTTCCTGAGTTTGATCGAGGAGCGTTAAGATTTCTGTGATGGCACGAGGCAGACATGTCGACGGGACCATCCGAGTTTCAAATGATCTCTCATCCTTTTGATGCCACATCATCGCCGTTTTTTGCAAACTTTGCCATGAATAAGACAGCCCAAACATTCTCTGATAGTTATGACTGTTATGTCATAGGTGCTGTCAAGAACAATTTCTATGTTGATGATTGCTTGAAATCCTTTTCTACTAGTGATCAGGCAAAGGAGTTTGCTAAGCAGATAAGTGAAGTGTTACGTAGAGGGGGTTTTACATTTTAAAAATGGATTACCAACCTGGGAGAAGTAAGGACCATCTTGCCTGATGTAGGTAAAGAAGTCTTTGATATAAATATCAACGAGTTACGATACCACTCATCGAATTCTAGGTGTAGAACGGGATTTCAACAAGATGTATGTAAGTATTACTGTGATGCAATGGAAAAGCCCTTGTCTAGGAGAGGGAATCTATCTGTAGTTTCTTCTCTGTTCGATCTTTTGGATCGAATTGCTCCAGTCTGCCTTACTGCCGAACTTGCAAGAATTATGTAAATCCCAAATAGGCTGGGAACAGCCTCTCAACGACCCATACATGTCCACGCGGCTAAATTGGGTGGATTTTATGCGTCAGTTAGGTCATGTTACTGTGGCTCGAGCGACCAAGAAGAGAATCAACGAACCTGACGCGAAAGTAGAATTACATTTGTTCAGTGATGCTTCAGAGATTGATTATGAAGTAGATGCTTACGCGTGAATTAGTTAATTGAAGGAACCACCATACTGTATCTTGTAGTGCAGCAAGTCTAGAGTAGCACCTATCAAAAATGCACAATTCCAGTCAATACAAGCAACACAATAAAAAGGAGGAAAAAACCAATATGGCCGCCTCCAAGACTAAGTACCAAGTGAAACAACATAAATACGGTTCCGGAAGAAACATGGAAACTTAGTGGCGTAAGAAAAATAGAAACTGTAGCAAAATACAAATATTATCAACTCAAATGGAATCAAAAAGACCAACAAAATGTACAACTAAAGGAATCAATAGGAACAAACTGCAAGTGTATACATGGAGGGATTTTCACACACAAAACATTCAAAATGGATCTTACACCGGCCCGCAAAATCCCTCCATACAACACAAGTCACCTTGATGCCTATGGTCATGATTCATTCCATAACATATTCTGCACTAGAGGAACGAGCATGGCTTACAACAGTACGCTTACTCGATTTGCCTACATTGACATAACAAGGAACTAATTTGAACTACCTAGGAGACATATCTTACATATATTCCTTCTAACTAATCCATTGTTCGTACGAACAGTTACCGTCCTAACCTTTCCGTCGTTATCTATTTCATAATCTTCAATTACTCCTAAGGGCCATCTTCTACGGGTCGAAATATCCGGAGTCGCGGTTTCTACATCTCCTTTCTGAAAATTGCGATGTTCAACTAACTATTTTTGACATTTTTGCGGGGACGGTGAATATTTTCCTAACGACCTTTCCCAAAACACATTAGCTAGATAATTAGCCTGTTTCCAACGTTTGTCATATGTCTCTCATGCTACCTTCTTCGACTATTTCGTCACACTCCCTCAATAACAGCAAACTATTTGGCAATAGGGCTAGTTTATCGTTAGCATCTTGGACAACTGGAGTTAAGGGTCGATCGTTAAATATCCTCTCAATTTCGAACAAATAAGTGCCTACGGTCTCATAAGTTAAAGTTTGTTCTCTGGTGATCAACAGTAACAGTCGGCGTATAGACCTAATCATCCTTTTCCAAACTCCACCCCTGTGGCTGGATGTGGGCGGGTTAAAATGCTATTGAATCTTTCCCACTAACAATTCATTATTTACCTTCTGCTGATTCAACCATCGCACAAATCTCCTTAGTTCGGAGTCTACACCTACGAAGTTCGTCCCATTGTCGCTGTAAATTTCTGCGGGATTCCCTCGCAATAAAATGTAATAAGGCCATTCTAAATGAATCAATATTCAAACTTTATTTATTTATTTGGACACATGAATATTGGTACAAGAGAGCGCCAATATATATGCGCCACACAAAACAATGAAAATTCTAGAGGAATATAAGGAAAGAAAAAAAGCTAAGGAGCGCAACAAAAAAAAGAGAGAACAGTAACGAAGAGATTGGTGTAAGGTAATGTGCTAGTAATCAACGAACCCAAAGGTACAGTCGGAAGAAATCTTTCAGGTAAGGGAGACAGAACCACTTTTTATGAAGAAAGTAAGAGAAGGTTACAGCAGGATTGCCATTGGCTTCTATTCTGAGCCATATCTGATAACGTCTCTAGCCACTGTGTCGCACCATCTCTCAGACCCCAACCAGGGAGTCGTGAAGGACCAACACAAGCCAGTCCTTTGCAGCTTTCTTTCATGCCACGACACCAT